AATCCGTGCGTGAGCTGGCATGAAACTCATTTTACCCCCAGGGCGTAAAGTGGTGCAACCCCACTGCTTGTGTTCTGGTGCTGCCATCTGGATCTCACTGGGAAGCACCTGCTCACCTCAGCACGGCATCTGCTCAAGTTGTCTTGTCTTTCAGATCTATCTTTTCCCTCCCAAAAAAATTAAATCTTTCTATCATGAGATTGACAGACTTGTAACCATTCTGGTATCATGTAGTGGTAGTGAATTTTACTGAAATCCATCCAGAAGTTAGCGTCAGGACTCCAAAAAAAACTACCTTAGTTCTTTAAATAATCTTCAGAGACTAATCAAAATCACTTATGATCATTTCCTCTAACATTTCCAGCCAACTGATGCCACCACTAAAAATAACAGCCACACATAAACAAAGAGTTGCCATGAGCTGGTGTCTGGCAGTCATAGGGTTAGAGGTGGAGGACATACAGGACATGTCCATCACAGGGACATACAAACAAGCTTTTATATCCTCAAACATCTAATCTCAAATTGTTCAATCATGCATGTTTTGGGAGGAGTACCTGGAAATAAACCATGCATGCAAAGATGCAAATCCTGTGCAAAAAGGCTGCAGCAGGGATTCAAACCTTCTACCCACAAAGGCAACAGTTCAACCGAGTCTTTTTCAGAAGCTTGGAATGAGAACCAGCGTTGGAGCTTCACGTTTTAAAGGAGATTATTGCACAACCTGTTGGCTCTCAGATAGGTATTATAATGGCAAATTTCTCTCAACAACCATGGCACCAAATATTAGCTTATCATCTGTAAAACTTAATAGGTAATAGCAATAATGTGTTTGGGAGATGGCCATCTTGAATTGTGTTGATGTAAGAGATTTAGACTAAATCTCAACATGATAAAGATGTAAATTAACATATTTATTCCCCCCGCAGGTTAAAACCATCATTCATGCTGCCATTTTTAACCAAAAACGCATGTCCTATGCACACTCACTGCAAATTTGTTTATCCACTGGTTGTCAGAGGTCACCATGGAGACAGGTAGCCGGCAGTGTGGTGGACCTCGCCGGTGACCTCTGATGTTGCTCCAGAAGATTTCAGCAGCTGAATACTGACATCAGTTCACAAGTGGAGCTGAACATAATAAACAACTAATAATAAATGACTTCAGGTTTATTTACCGCAGAAACAACAGAATATGTAAATCTTTGGTTTTTGCACATGAAGAGATGGTTTGTGGACAGTTTTATGACATTAAAAAGTTTTGACTTCTTTTATTCTATTCCATGCTATGTTGCACAGTAAATCTTCCTGCATGGATGACGGTCATAACCAGAAGCTGAAGTAAGAGCTGTCAGGATGTGGGAGAATTTGTTTTATTGGATTTGCTGAAATTAGAAAAAATAAAAAACTCTAAGTGAGTTTAAGTCAAGTTCTGTGCATTAATTTCTGTGATTAGTGCATTCAAAAATTCTACAACATATGTGAAGCGCATTTAGAAAAACGGATCCGGTATCACAAGCGTTTATTAACTTAAATTTCTAACATCTGGAAAATTCATTTATTTGAGTTAACAGTAATTAAACATACAGAGTTATTATACCACATGTAAACAAATTATGTATTAGTTCTACTATCACACTAGAGTCCCCTCTGAAATGTAAAACTGTGCATGGGAATGTAAATGTCTCAATATTCAAAGCAATATCTAAGATTTTTATATTAAAAAATATGTGATCTTATTACCCTACAGTGGGTATGGAAAGTATTAGGAATAGAATAGACTTTATTAATCCCACAGTGATGAGGAAAAAATAAATTAATTGATTTTAGCAAATGGCTGCCAGATAACAAAGAGTGAAAAACTGACATGGGTCTGAATACTTTGCGTACATAAATGAAGAAATGGAGCCACCAAGATGTTTCCCAGCTAGTGGGCCAAATGGCATTTTCAGGTGAAGAAACTATTTGATGAGGAGCTGAAAAACAGCTGTAAGATTGATGCATTTTCATGCAGTCATACGTTTCTTCTATGTGAGACCCCACCATTAAGATTCTGATGCTTTGGTTCTCTTGCCAGGTTGGTTCTGTGTGCATGAAGCTTTAACACAGATTTAACATCTGTTACACAGGAACATTACACATGTCTTTAGAGTTAGGGTCCCCGCCACTGTTTTAGAATGATGTGTGAAATACCTCCCTCCGGTGGCCGTTATTGAGCATTACATGAAACACACAGAAAATTTTGCCCCTTCCTAACATACGAACAACATTTTAATGTTCACAGGTATAAGGTCAGTAGAGAAGGGTTCAAGTTTATCAGTTCTTTGTAAGATCCAAAACTGAATGTGTTTTACCTCTAACTAATAAAGCTTTCAAAATTCCTGTATCATCTTATATCTGTCTTTTCCAGATGTTACCATCAGAGCACTTGTGGTTCCTAGATATTCTCCTGGCTCATCCCTTAAGTTATGTTACTGAAGGCTCAACTACAGGATGACAAACAGACCACATGTCCCCACTCAGCTGTCTTTAATCTCCATGTTTTTATCTTTAGAAATAACAACTGGCCCTGTCTGCCCGTGTTTGTCTCTTTCCTGTCCTCTCAGGCCCCAGACAAACATCCTCCCTGATCCTGGTTATGTTGAATGCTTGTTTTTTTTCTGCTTTCAGCCTCCATTACAGTGAAGTGATACTACAGGTGTCATGACTCGAGGTAAGTGTCTAACCCAAGACATGCAGAATCAACACACGTAGTCCAAAGCAGTAAAGTAAAATGTCTTTATTATAAAAACGGGAACTGAAACCGCACAGGGAAGTCCTGTGGGATGATCAATACGGCTTGAGTCTCTGAAGTGCTCAGGTTGATGAGATGATGAGAGGAAGCCAGGAAGGATGCTGGGCAGAGGGTGAGAAGTCCAGGAGAAGCGAGGTAGCAGAGGGAAGCCAAATAGGAGCAGCGGAGGAGGATGGGACGTGATGTGTGTTATCCAGGGAACGAAGACAGCGAGGGTGAGGAGATGAGGAGAGGACACTGAGTGGAACAAAAACCAGGCATGAGTGATAATCCAAATTGTAATCCAATAACACAATCCGAGGTCATAAATCCAATGGTCAAACACGAGCCAAAACACAAACAAACTAGATCAAGGTCAAAGGCTGGTGCTACCTAAACTGGAGCAATCATCTGGCAAAGTGATGTGTCTCCATCCTCCTTTTGAACCTGCGTCCCTGATTGGGAAATCTCCTGCAGCTGCCGCTCCCCCTGCTCCTCACCTGTGGAGAATTAGCTTAGAGTCTGGTGAGAGGAGATGGTGTGACTCACCTCTGCCCAGGAACATGACAACAGGCCAACCTGCTGGTTTCTTACGTGTATATTTCACCAATTGGCTTCACATAATCTAGTGAATCTAAGTCTACACCTGACATGAACCAAACTTTTTTTCTTTTTCTAGCTCTTAACTGTGACTTTGCTGTAAACTGGCCTTCATTTCATCTGATGTATTCATTTCTAAAGCACCTTCCACCACCAATCAAGGAGGCCCAGACTGATTAAAAAATACGAGACAAACACAAACCAAACATAATAAAACAACATAACAAAACTGTTAAAACCAGCATGAAAACCAAGGCCTGCTAGAAAGATGACAGACAGGTGTGATAACGCAAAAGCACCTTGACTTTTAAACTCTGTAGATAAGTAGCCTCTCTAGCCAGAGGCAGATGAATCCATAGTCTCAGAGCTAACACAGCAAATGCACGGTCTTCCCCAAGATTTGCATCTAGTTTTCAGTACCAGTAAAAAGCACTGGTCCAAAGAACGAAGGGGCCTTGAAGGGGAGTTTGTTGAAACAAGACAAGAGATGTAGGTTGCTGCTGTACCTACCAGGAACTTGAAAACAAACCAAGGAACCTACTGAGTGTTACGGAGGTTGCCTGTTTGTCCCGAGGTCGGAGTTCTGCACTGCGGATAGTGCCCGGTCCTGCCCCTGCTGGAATCATCACCAAGGGCAGCGCCACACCAAGAATGGACTACCACCCCTCCTCCTGAATGCAGCCAGTGCGACTGTCACCATTTAACCCAAAACAATGCTAATGAGTGGTGCTCCTTTAACCCTCTCAGGCTCAAAATAAGTTTTGATAAAAGAACGAACAACTACTTCTGAGTTAAAAAAAATGCTCATGAAATATATATGGAGTAACCAGATAACGTTGCAAATCTGCAACGCCTGCCTCCAGAGGGTTAAAAAGCCAAGGCTGCCAGTTACACAGGGGGCTCAGATCAGCTAATGTCCCCAGATCACTTTGTGGCAAAAAATTATAGTGATCTTGATAGTAGTTACAGCTTTTGCTATAATGCCACGCCTGATACCACAACTCTTTTAGAAATATTTTAAGTTGTTTAAAATACCAACGGACACACGGACACAGAAGTGTAGGAGATGGGGGGGGGGGGGGGGGGGGATGTGGGGGAGGGGAGTTAAAAAAATAAGCAATCAATGATGAGCAAGAAACTGCTTCTAGACCTGCAGAAAGAGAGAGAATAAAAGGGGACACACAAAAAATACAAGACCAAAATACTCCTGCACCAACAACATGAGGATATATTAAAGTAACTAATTTTGCTGAAAAATACACGGTAATAATTCATAAAGCATTTAGAACCATAGACACCACACAGGCGGTGTGTTGAAAATGCCCAAGTGCATCCTTGTGAGAGCACCATGTGAGCACCAGCGTGCGTACACGCTCTTGTATATGTAAGATTTTTCTACTGGAGTGTCCAATAGTGAGTGTGAGGGACCACAGACCTGCCTCCAAAGATGTGTGGAAGATGGAGGAGTTCCAAGCACTAGAGATCCAAGTGTCTCCCCGGAGCACAGGAACTCCGGGGAGACCGCCGCCGGATGAGCTCCAACCCCCCACATGATCTTTTCAATAGTGCGCCGGTTGTTGCAACTGTAGGCTCCAGTTGGGTTTGGAGAGTGAGGAGACCCACCCAATATGGCAGCAATGCTGTTACGCTGTCCAGTGCATCTACATATTCATATCTTTGGGCTGAAGCTCAACTGTGATGTCGTAGACTTGGCCCTGCTGAGCCAGGGCTTTGTGAGCTTTTTTGTGCCTTGAGTTGTGCCTGCAAGGCATTGATTCCTACTAGAGACCACTGAAAATGTAATGATTAAACAAGTAATCTACTCCTTTGAGTGTTACTTGTGTACATCATTTTTCTAGCTATCACTAGATAAAGGACAAGTGCAATTATGTGGGTGGAGGATATTACTTTTTTATTTTCTGTTCTGTCTACAATGTCAGTAGGACTTTGGTTAACAACACAAACTTTTTGATGATTCAAAGCTCCTCATTTTAAAGCAGGCTGCAAAAAGTGCACAGAGCCCCTCAAACTGAAACTAAAAATATTAGATGTCTGAACAGTTAACAGCGTGTTTAACAGTCTAGATGAAGCTGAATTTAAATGTGTTCAGAGTGTAAAAAGCAGACATCCTGAAATAACACGTCTGTTTGCTTTAAAACATTTTTAAAGAGAAGTCTGATGTACTGATCAACATAAAAAAAACATGCATTAAAATAAAATGGCTCCAAATCTTAATGTTTATTTTGTCTTTAAACCTGAAAATTGTATCAATCTTTCAGTTTTGAAAGAAATATGTGAAACATTACATCCTATTTCAGTTTAGGGTGAAGCTAAAATTTTAAGCTGTGTCTAAACAGTTCAGATATTTAATTGCCTACCATCTAGTAGAGACTTTGTGGCGTTTAAATGTGCATTTTCATGGATCCCTGTCAGATGTTTATCATACTCTCCTCAGCCACCTTCCATTAAGATAATATGGTACAACTGATGTACCTTTACCTTGGAGTTTGATGGACCATTTGGTTACTGCTGCTCATTAATATTCTTTCTAATCTCCTGAATGAACTCTGCCCTGAGCTTTCTGAGGTCCCTGTCCATTGTGGTACACACGGTACTGGTTCTTTTCACAGGCAGATAGTATATATATATATATATATATATATATATATATATATATATATATATATATATATATATATATATAGCCATGCCCTGATGTGGGGCTGGGGGGTGCGTCGACATGGTCGGGACATAGAAGGGGGTGAGCGGCTAAATAAGTTTGGGAACCGCTGCTCTAGAGTATCAACATATGTCAAAATCTATGATCACAAATAAAATAATGTATGAAGATTGCCATTTTCTGTTTAAACATGTAGAGGAGGATGAAATGGAAAAGATGCTACTAAACTTGTTCATGTTTATGCATTTAGCAGACACTTTTGCCCAAAGCGACTTACAAGTGATAATCGGCATGTTGCCCTTGAGGCTAACAACAACAACTTGACATCAATCATGGAGAGGAGGGAACAGGGAGTGGACAGTAGAGAGGGGGACGGGTGCAGGGAGGGTGCTAGTTTAGATGATGCTCTCTGAAGAGCAGAGTCTTCAGGAGTTTCTTGAAAATTGAAAAGGAAGCCCCTGTTCTGGTAGTGCTTGGTAGGTCATTCCACATTGTGGAACGATGCATGAGAAGAGTCTGGATTGTCCTGAGCGTGGTGTAGGCACTGCTAGCCGACGATCCTGTGATGATCGGAGCGGCCGGACAGAGGTTTTAGCGAGCGGAGGTTTTGAAGGTTTTTTGAAAGCGGTTTGAAAGCGGTTTGCTGTGTGTGACCTTCCTCTGAAGCCAGTGGTCACAGGTATAGGATAATGGCACATTTTGCAAGGTGTTGATGGAGCAGCGTCTGGGTAGAGTTTGTTTGCTCTGTTGACACTCGCAGGTAGATACGTATGTCTTTACCCCGGAGTGTCTTCACAATGAATGTGTTGAACTGAATTGATGAAATGGATGGAAGACTTTTAAAGATTGTAGCTAAACTGTTAGTCAAATCTCTGTCATATCTTTAATTTATGTTTCAAAGAATTCTCTATCCTGACAGATGGAAGATCTCAAAAGTTAAACCTTTGTCTAAAAATACTGAAGAACCATTGACAGGGCAAAATAGTAGGCCAATCAGTATCTTACCAGTTCTGGGCAAATTGATGGAGGGAGTGATGTTTAAACAGATTCAACATTATTTTAGTGTGAATGGTATTTACTCTGATGTTCAGCAAGCTTATAGAGAAGATTATTCTACCAGCACAGCACTGACTGCTCTTACAGATGAATGGTTGAGACATTGATAGGAAGCTGTTGGTAGGAGTAGTGTTTTTTAATTTTAGTGCAGTTTTTGATATTGTGGATTATGACCTTTTACCAGAGTCTATGCCTTTTACTTATGAAATTATCAACATATGGTTTTAAAAAAAATCTGCTATTACTTTTGTGAGTAGTTACTTGTCCAATAGGAAACAATGTGTTGCATTTAATGGCAAACTTTCAAACACCGTTACTTGTGTGGGATTGCCCAAGGGAGTTGTTTGGGTCTTCTGTTATTTAGAATTTTTGTCAATGATATGTTGTTTGCATGCAGTGATGCACATATGACTGTATATGCGGATGATACAACTATATCTGTCTCAGCTTCAAGTTTAGATCAGGTCAATGTTGTGCTTCAGCAGGAGCGAAAGTCTAGTGGGTGGTGGAAACAGGCTAAAATTGAATGTTTTGAAAACCAAGTGTATGCTATTGGGCTCCGGGATTTTTGTGAGAGCAAATCAGAATGAGTAGGAGCATTTCTGTAATTAGGCGCAATGCTCATTATGTGTTGACAGAAACCAGGAAACTTGTTATACAGCCTGTGGTTTTGTGTTATCTGGATTACTGTCCAGCTGTTTAGTCCAGGGGTGCTACGAATGACCTTGATGAACTTCAGAAAGCTCAGAACAGAGCTGCTAGGCTAGTTCTCGGTTGTCCTTTTAGAGCCAATGTCAACTGGATGCATCACATAGTCTGTCATGGATGAAGGTAAATGGCAGGCTAGCTTGTAGCTTGGTTTTGTCCTTGCACAAAATTTGAACTTTTCATTAACCTTTTAGCTTGTTCTCAGAAATGCTACCGACCTGTATGCAACATGGCTTTAACATGAGGAAAGCCTTGCATGCTACCTTTACTCTCCCATTGCCAAGAACTAATGCGCTCAAAAAAACAGTTATTTACAGAGCAGTTTTACATTGGAATATCCTGCTTTGTGAAATAACATTAATAAATGATCATGGCAGGTTTAAAACAAATCTTGTGAAACTGTCATGCATAAAGAATTTAAATTAGATAAAAAATATTGTTACTCCAATAGATTTCAAGGGATTAGTGACTTATCTTTTAGTTTCTTCTCAGTTTATTTATTTAATTTTTAGTATTTCTGTTTTACACTGTATATGCAATAATGCATATGCTTTTCTTAAATTTATTTATTTATTTATTTATTTTTTAACGGAGTGGACCCCAGGAAGAATAGTCTTCACAATGGTGAAGACAAATGGGGATCCTTAAATAAACAAATACACAAATAACACACGCCACTAAGTGGGAATATCTTATAAGATTATCTTTAGAGCCATTAAAATATTCAGGTGGGTTCTTAAGATTGTCAGAAGGAAGGAGTGCATCAAAAATGGACATGATGTTCCTGCCGTGTGAACCAGGCTTTACTGAAACAGGAGGGTACAAACAATGCTTGTAATTAGATCTAAAGGTAGGAACTTTGGTTCTTGAACACCGATGCAGGTACGAAGTCTTGGGTTTTCTGTTAATAATGTTAATCTTTCAGTAAAGTCAGAATTGGTAGAGTAAAGGAAAAATGAAATAATGTTTTGATTTTATTTAAAAGTTATTCTGATAACAGAAGAGTCACAAGCCTGGTGAGGTTCCTCTATGAGACAGACATCCTCTTTGATAGAAGAAGGAAGGATGATGACATCACTCACACTATTCAACTGTCTGAACCAAAGAAAGTTGCCTTTTCAGTCTCCGTCTATCAGCTGAACTTCTCATCTCCCTTCATTTAAAACTATTTCCTCACTGAGTGGCGAAGAATTTGGTAAGACAAGTTATTTTCTTAAAGGTTTGAAACAAGAACAAACAACAGAAATTGACTAAATGTAATTTATTGCTTAAATGTGAATGCTGTAAAGCATTCAAGCTATGGTGATCCTGTTTCTCTTTATAGTTAGTTAGTTAGTTAGTTAGTTAGTTAGTTAGTTAGTTAGTTAGTTAGTTAGTTTTCCCCTACATTTTTTATTAATTGTAAATTCTAATTATAACCAACCCCACCCTCTCTTTCACTTTAACCCTGACCCCACCCCCTTCTAACCCTAACCCCCCCTAACAACTGGACCATGATTAAAATATTGTTTCTTTCCACTTCGCCTTTACCGTATGGCATCACAATACAACCTTTATTTTACTCTATCCTACACTCTGATTTTAACAATTTAAGTTAGTTAGTTAGTTTATTCTGCTTCCATACATTTTTGGCATTTAACTACTTCCACAATTCTTCAATTGTTTACACAATTTTGGTATAGTTAGTTAGTTAGTTAGTTAGTTAGTTAGTTAGTTAGTCTGCTTCCGTACATTTTTTGGCATTTAACTACTTCCACAATTCTTCAACTATTTACACAACTTTGGTATCAAAACATCTTTTTGATATCTATTAGAGTTTTTCTAAAATCACAGGTAGAAGTTGAGGTACGGCTTGAGATTTTCAGAAAAAATCACAAAAATTATAATGGGCAGACATAGGAGCAATAACCCTCCTTTGCTCCATTTCTGGTATTGTCATGAGAAAACCGTAGGTCCGATTGAAATGAGACGCATGCTGGCTTGCAGCTAACGGATATACCTTCGATTTGAGCTATAAATCATGAATGTACTCCAAACATTGTGGTCGTTTTGTTCATTAATTTGAGAATATTAAAAATAAAAAAAAATGTCTCTCACCACTCTAAACTGAAAATTCCACACTCTAACTTTTGACCTTCACATTTTCTGGAAACAACTCTTTCCAATACCCAGACCGTTTTGAGTACCGAAACAAAGTATTTCTTAAAAAGTAGGAATTTTTGTCCGCTTTTCAGAATGGGTTTCATTTTGTCCTTAAGTGTTACATTTCTTTCTCTATAAACCTTAGAAGGAGGCTGTAAGCACATTGTGACCAGGGGCCCCTGCAATGATAATTTGGCCATGGCTACAAGCCCCAGAAGGAGGACTGTGTCAGCTTTCCTCCATTTAAACCCCTTTAAAAAAAGGCACCGGTGACCAACAGACAGCTGAAATGTTCTCCTCATATCTTCTAGAAGATTTGTGGTAGGCACACAAGACTTCACACACATGACCACCAAAGCCTTCTGCCGCCCACGCTTTTTGAATTTTTCAAATCGGTGCAGTACTTTTCGAATGATGATGGGAAGTTTGACAGGTCCAATTTTACTTCTGAAGGACAGATTTAAAGGCTTCTCTCATTAACAGGAGTACAGCTGCAGGTCTCCAACAGCCGGGGAAAAGGCGGGAAAACAGTGCTTCTCTCTGATTGGAAAGTGTTCAACCATTTTCTGTCCAAGCAGGATCTAGCACCCACACATATGACACATCAAACTGACCAGCTTAGTCTCAGGAATCTTGTATAAAATTTTAAATGCATTATCTGTTACCATGGTAACACAAGTGCATAAGGATATTCCCAAACAAGTCTCATTGAAATGAATGTGAAAAGCCTAATATCGAGCCCATAACATACTGCTGTTTCTAATCTTTCTGAGCTCTATGCACTTAAACTAGCAGCATAACTGACATTGTGGCTGTGTTCGAGATAAGCCAGTTCTGCGCAGTTTAGACCAGCGGTGATCGGCAAGCAGTGCATGCCGGTTAGATTTGTGTCCGACTTGACGCTGACTTGCTCTGACGTCATGCATACGTAGGCAACGATAACCTTGTGAGATCAAGGCGGCCGCAGATTTTGGAGCAAGGCGCTGCAGTTGCTCTCCACCGGCTGCAAAACCTAGAGGATGACAGGAAACGCCTGGCTCTCACCTGATCTAAGATCTGATTGGTTCATATTTTGATCCAAACATCTGGTGGTAGAACATGAAATGTTAGTTGGTCACATGTATTCTGTAAATCATCTTATGTTGAAGATGACAACAATATAAGCCATAAAGAGAAATGTGTTTTGTGTTATTTTGTCACATTTCCTATGAGCACACTAAACCTACAGCTGATAACCTTTACTTATTATTACAGTCAGGTCTTCATGTACAATATATGATATCCATAAGCAGGTGAGGATGTGTTTCAGCTGCTAACAGTTTAAAATAAATATTTAAACAAGTATGAACTCTAACAGACTCTAACGCAATATCTTCAGCCATCGTCACCCCCGTGCTACACATGTAGGGAAATCTGTCCGACTTAAACGCCGGCTTTCAGCCACTCCCCCTGTTGCTTCCGTCTGCTCTCGTCTGTTTTCCAGGCGAGGCACAGCTCAACTCGAACACGGCCTATAACACTAGTCAGAAGGCAGGAACCGCCCCCTTCTCTTTTGCTGCTCTCTCATTGGCTGAGAGTTTTCAATCGTCTTCTGCCTAAAAGGAAATATGCACCCACACATATGATACATCAATTAAACCTGCTTGGTCCCAGGAGTCTTGTATTAACTTGATATTGTGTTCTGCATCACCATGGCAATGTGCTTATCAACAACATTTAACAACATTTTAGACACAACTGTATCAACATACTTTAACATAGAAATGTTAGTCAAAGTTTAAAAGAGTCATGTGACATTGTACATTGCTTTATTAAAGCAGACTCCTGTCATCTGTTACCATGGCAACACAAGGAACTACACATCACTTTAACCAAGTCTCATAGGAATGAATATAAAAAGCTAAATATTGAGCCAATAACAGACTTATCTTGTTGATCTTTTTGAAATATCTGTACTTAAACCTAGAAACAAGTTACATTTGATTGACCGTCAGAAGGTGGGAAAGTGCCCCGCTCCCTCCCAGTTCCCTGACTGGTTGAGAGAGGTCAATCATCTTCTGGCTAAATGGAATTACAAACCCACTTATGTGAGATATCAAATGGATTGGCTTGGCCTAAGGAATCCATCCATCTACATATAAATCCATACATGCTTCTTTCCATCCATCCATCCATCCATCCATCCAATAAACCATCTAACATCCATCCAACAGTCCATCCATCATTTTATTCATCCAACCATTCATCACGTCCATACTAAGTCTGAACATATGTTAATCTATCAGTTTCAGATATCAGTAAATGTTTCTAAATTCACAGTTCAGCCAATTGTTAAAACCTATTAAACCTCATTCAAATGCCAGCTGTTTAAACATTTCAACTTTTGAGTTTTTAATCAATGTTCAAAGATTAAAATTTTCTGCTGTTTAGCATTTTTTGTCCATTCTTCACCTATATTCTGAGTTTTATTACACTTGTTGGTGATTTTTGCTTCTAAACCTTTAAATACATTCAGCTCATTTTGACAGTTTAGCTTAGTTTCAGCTTCACTTCAGCTATTCAACAGCTTCAGCAATCAGTTTCTGAATTCATCATATGATGCTAATTTCACAGTTCAGCTAAATGTAAAAAGTAAACTGTTAAGCTAGTCCTACTGAAATGACAGGTGTTTAGACATTTTAGCTGTCCAGTTTTTTAAACAATGTTCACAGATTTTAGTTTTCTGCTCTTTAGGATTAGTTATCTTGATTCTTCACTTACTTTTTGTGCTTTATTTGCTTGTTGGTGCTTTTTGCTTTCACATATTTCACTACATTCAGCTCATTTGCCAGTTTAGCTTAGTTTCAGCTTCACTTCAGCTATTCAACAACTTCAGCAATCAGTTACCAAATTTAGCATGAGCTGCTAATTTCACAGTTCAGTTAAATGTAAAGATTAAACTGTTAAACTTGTCCAACTGAAATAACAGGTGTTTAGACATTTAAGCTGTCCAGATTTTTATACAATGTTCACAGATTTCAGTTTTTTTTTTTTTGCTACTTAGGAACATTTTTCTCCATTCTTCACTTACTTTTTGTCCTTTATTTGCTTGTTAGTGATTTCTGCTTCAACATCTTTCAACACATTCAGCTCATTTTGACAGTTTTCTTGCTTTCAGCACAAGTTCAGCTATTAAGCTGATTCAGCTAACAGTTTAAGCTATCCAGCATTCAAACAGCATTTCTGCAAGAAATGCAATTTATCTAGTTTGACTATGGATTAAAAAAGCTGAATCATCATTTGTAAAAGTGACTGATTAAATCTCTGAGCTCCATCAGATGATTCTGTCTTGTCTCCAGTCTAAAGATGGAAGGCCATCAGAGCCTGATGTCTGTAACCATGGTGACGGTCCACATGTTACTGAGTGTCTCGTTCCTTCCAGGTGAGCAGTTTATTCTCTTTAGTTTTCAGAATCATTTCTAGTTTAAAGGCTCCACATGCAGCAAGCTGCAGCTCAGCTGGACTTTAGTCAGGAACTTTCTCTTAAAGCTGATTTTGTTCCTCATTAATTTCTCTGCTTTTGCAGATGTTTGGGCTGCTGCTGATTATTGTGGTAGTCAGAAACCAGCATTCAAAATCACTACACCAAATATGATGGAAGCTCTGAATGGATCATGTTTGCTAATTCCATGTAGCATTACATCTACTGCAGTTGTCTTCAGCAAACAAAGCTCTGGATTTTGGATTAAATGTGATAGTAATATTTACAGCAGCAGTAATTCAGTGAAATCATTTCCAGTAACAATCACTGGAAACCTGACTCAGAGTGACTGCACCACTGTGTTTTCTGACCTAAACACGAGTCATTCAGTTGCGTACTTCTTCAGAATTGACAGCTCATCTAGCCAAGGTGCAGGTACAGCTTGTGCAGATCCTCTACAAATAACAGTTAAAGGTGAGTTTTTGCTTTCTTTCTATCTATCTTACTGTTTTTGTTATTAATAAGAACACAAACTGAAAATATAATTTATCTATTGACACGTGACACAAACCTGTTATTAGTAACTGGTCTTAATAGTGACATCATCTTTCCTTGTGTGTTTGAATAAACTCGCTTACAGTCCAGAGTAGTCCAATATATACAGTCTGTACTGGATTTAGTCATGTTATTTTACTCTTTCAACATCATTTGTAGCAAAAGCCCAACATACCTCAGCATTTACAGTCACATTGTTGCATAAACATGTTTTCCCTCAGACAAAAAAGACCTAAAACTGTAAAATCCCTATTATCCGCTCAAGATAAAAATATAATTTTGTTCTTCACTGGCTACCGGAACATCTTGGTCAAAATATGAAATAAAACTTAAACAAAAACTACCAAGAAGCATTGAAGGAGCAAATTGTTCAACTTCAGCACATGAAAGATAAATCAGTTCTACAGGTAAAACCGGAAAAATGAGAATACTGTGCAAAATTACATATGTTTCACTAATTCAGCTACACCAAAAGGCAATTTAAAGGTTCAGGGGCCCTTTACAGGTGTTTTCTATTTGCAATTATAATTAAATGGACCCCAGAGAGGAACGATCGAGGGGTGTGGGGTGGAGGGATGGGCTTTTTTCAGAGGTGGTTGTTTTCTGCTCTGCAGAACCCCGAAAAAGGACACACACACACACACACATCCCAGTCTTCCTGCGGTGAAATGTACCCTGAGCACTGTGTAGTAAAAGCATGGACAGCGGGAGGGTTAAGGTGGTGTCATAGTGATTTGTCTGCAGTTTGTAATGATCTTAACCTTAGATTCTGGTGATTCTGCTGCCCTGATACTCTTGAGCCTGGCAGCATATTTTGATACTGTTGATCATAACATCCTCCTGTCACGGTTGGTTCCCTAGTGATTTCACTCTTATTTGACAGTTGGAAGACCCCTCCTTGACATTTGGAGTTTATTTGCTGCCTTTGGGATCCATCTTCCTTAAAGAGCAAGTCATCCCCTACCAGAGTGTTACTTCCTGTTTGAAAAATGCAACAAAAGCTGTTGCCTAGCAGACCGAGAGGGCGGAGTTGCTAACAAATACACACACACACAGAGTGTGTCCGAATCCAGAGGAAGGATGCTTGTAAGAGCGCATTTTGAGGTCGATGACATCACAGCGCAGCAACGAGTACTATCCGAATTCCAAGAATACTCATTCTCGCGTCCTCAAATGCGTCCTCGCTCCACCCACATTTTGAGGATGGGTCTGGTGGATCCTCACAGGAGCAAGGGTATCCCAGCATGCTTTGCGCGCTGGCCGGTGGACTCGACACTCACAACAATGGCGGACGGAGCGGGAGAGCAGTACAGTTTAAAATGTAAGTTTGTTAAAAAAAATAGCAGTCAAAAAATAAAATACGTGTTTGGGCATTTTTGGTTTGTTTTTTATATAAGATCTAATACCGTAAATTGTTTTTTTCATGTAATTTAAGACATGCCCCACCGAAAACTAGCTTGAATGTGTAATAGGAAAAACCCACCGTAAACTAGCTTGATCCCAGCATGCTTTGTTAAAAAAATAGCGGTAGACAACTAAGCTGAAAGCGGTTCTGTTTATAGACATTTTTCATTTGTATAAGTACATTTTAAGCAGAAATCAACGAGAACGAGCTTGTATGGCGGTCCCGTTAAGATACCCGTTTGTGTGTGTGTGTTTATTTAGCAAATAAAGCTTCTTATCATTTGTTTTAAGGTTAACACCCCACCGTAAACTTGCTTGAATGTTTAATAGGAAAAAACCCACCGTAAAAGAGCTTGTATCTTATTTAATCATGTAATGAATGCCAAAAATAACGAAAACTAAGTTAAATGTTTATTTAAGTCAATTTTTAAGAAACCACATTACTGTCAAAACGATTTGATGTTTTTAATTTAAGGCGGAAAAAATCACTCACCGTGAACTAGCTTGATTGTCTTTCATCACTGATATATATGTATATATATATACAGGTGCTGGCCAGTAAATTAGAATATCATCAAAAGGTTGAAAATATTTCAGTAATTCCATTCAAAACGTGAAACTTGTACATTATATTCATGCAATGCACACAGACCAATGTATTTCCAATGTTCATTACATTTAAATTTGATATTTATAGGTCTATGTTCACAGCAGAACATTGATGGAAATACTTTGCTCATATAGTGTGTAATGGATTTACACTTGTACCTCCATGCCACCGTGGCAGAATTTTTAGCACCAGTGAAGAGGGCCTCGTTTTGCCCTCTCAATTTGATGAGGGTGGTGGTTTGTTCTGATGTCCCTAGCACAAAAAAATATATCTATACATATATATATATATATATATATATATATATATATATATATATATATATATATATATATATATATATATATATATATATATATATATATATATATATACATATATATATATATATATATATATATACATATATATACATATATATATATATATATATATATACATATATATATATATACATATATATATATATATATACATATACATATATATATATATATATATATACATATACACATACATATATATATATATACATATATATATATATATATATACATATACATATATATATATATATATATATACATATATATACATATATATATACATATACATATATATATATATATATATATACATATATATACATATATATACATATATATATATATATATATATACATATATATACATATATATACATATATATACATATATATATATACATACATATATATATATATATGTATAGATATATTTTTTTGTGCTAGGGACATCAGAACAAACCACCACCCTCATCAAATTGAGAGGGCAAAACGAGGCCCTCTTCACTGGTGCTAAAAATTCTGCCACGGTGGCATGGAGGTACAAGTGTAAATCCATTACACACTATATGAGCAAAGTATTTCCATCAATGTTCTGCTGTGAAAAGTACAGTTTATCATTATTTTATTAACACAGTTGACATGTTTTCTTTCATCTATTGTTCTCTTTATCATCTATTTAGGATGATCCTGGAGAAGATGGGCCTGCAGGGGAAGATCACCCCTTTGCAGGTCAAAAAAAAAATGAGACAACCTAAAAACTAAGTACAAAGTATGTACACATGTGGTACAGAACACAATTTTCATCTCCCATGGTGATAAATTGCACTGCATGGAGGCGCTCACATGTCAGGGCAGTATGCAAGTCAAGCTTTTTCTTTTGTTTTAAGGCATATGGCAAAGGTAAAGCTATGCCTTCCTGCAATTTTCAAACATGTTAACCATCTGCTGTGACCTACAAACTGGACTGCTGCAAATTTAAAGCAGTGATCTGTATTGTGTCTTCAGCCGGTGCAGAATGCTTTTGCTCACCTGTTGGCTGGTACGAAGAGGATGGATCCCTGTTTTACACAGGATCCAGTAGAAATGACTAAAACAGGCATTGTTTGTTTTTGAACCTGGTTTTCCACCAGACTCAAAAGCGTTGCATAATGTCAATGATGCATAGCAAACAGCAATTAGCACGCCGTCGATGGGTTCATTTCCAGCGCATGCAAAGTGTTTTGTTTTGGACGTGTCCCAAAAGCATGGAGACGATTGCTCTGCTAAACCTTTGTTCAACCCTTTTTTTAACACTATGTTTCCAGAATGTGTCAATCTCAGCAGTTCAGTTCGGACCAGACAGGAAGACAAACATGAAAGCAGTGTAAAACACCTGGAAATTTTCTAAATGAAAATCACATGCTGATTTCCAGTTGCTTAACTTGTTTTTATGAAATATCTATCTATCTATCTATCTATCTATCTATCTATCTATCTATCTGTCTGTCTATATCTATCTATCTATCTATCTATCTATCAATCTATCTATCTATATGTTTTTTTTTTGTATTTTAAATTTTTTGCTCCTGTCAAACACCTTGTGATTTTTATCTTGAGGTGCTTTCTCTCTTTTTAGCAAAAACATTACATCTGTAAAACCTCTGTAACCGAGGTAAACAGAACAGAAAAAATAAATAAATAAAGCACAGACCTATTTCGATACATGCTGCCATCTTTCTCCTCACTTGTATTGTGGACAATTGAAAACCAGAGTGGTCTTCCAATTCTCCAGTGACTTGGTGACCTCGGATCAGCTGCGTGGAATGCTTTTGCTAACATTGGAAACAGTGGAAAGCTGGAGTCAAAGGCATTCTCCCCTCTTATTTGACTGATGTATTGGTGACCCACACCCCAAGAGAACTTTGTGGTCCAGCTCACAGCTATTGTTCTTGACTCTGGGGACAAAGCAGAAATCTGGTGATGACAGATCTTTATCTGTGTAGGCACCAAGCTCTGGAACAGTCTGCTGCTTATTATCAGATATGCTCAGTCACTAGAATCTTTTAAATAATGTTTGAAGACTAATTTCATTAACTTAACTTTTAGAATCTAATTAAACTTTAATATGTTTGATCTGTTTTGTATTTTATTACTCTTATTCTTGTTTTATCTGTTTTATTGTATCTCATTCTGTGAACCGTTGCTGTTGGAAGGGTGCTATTTATATAACTTGGCCTTGTTCCCAACCTTGCTGCATCTGTGTAAGCTTCAGTGCAACAGATGCCTTAAAAAAAATCACACAACAGATTGTTGGAAAATCAAGAATTACCTGACCATCAGTAATCACAGAGTGGCCAGATTGGCGGCCCATACACTGGGAAATGCCCCAGTGCTCCTGATGACCAGTCTGCCACTGGTTAGGAGAATAATCCACAAATGTTTCAACACAGTGAATAATTTGTTAAAATAGTTTAGTGTATCTTTGGAAGTTGAGATCAGTAGTTGTTTAATTAAGGTTCCAATCCTGATTTTGTAACCAGCTGCTACATCAGTGAAATCCTGCATGATATATGTTTAAAAACAAAATTTAAATGTGTATCTAATGTGAAATCCCAGATTCTCCTTGGAGACCCAAGATTACCACCTCAGGAGGTCTGGAGGACCTGAAGGAGAAGGAGTCTGTCTCTATAACCTGCTCAGCTCCGACTCCCTGTCCACTCTCACCTCCTGAACTCACCTGGAACCTCCAACCAGACTCTGGCAGACAAACACAGAAGAACCCAGATGGAATCTCTACAACTAAAATCCAGGAGAACATGACTCTGTCAGACACACATGATGGATACAACATCACATGTTCCGTCTCATACCCTGTGGATGGAGGAAAACGTCTGAATACAGGTGCTGGCCAGTAAATTAGAATATCATCAAAAGGTTGAAAATATTTCAGTAATTCCATTCAAAACGTGAAACTTGTACATTATATTCATGCAATGCACACAGACCAATGTATTTCCAATGTTCATTACATTTAAATTTGATATTCATAAGTGACAACTAATGAAAACTCCAAATTTGGTATCTCAAAAAATTAGAATATTCTGAAAAGGCTGAATATAGAAGACACCTGCTGCCACTCTAATCAGCTGATTTACTCAAAACACCTGCAAAGGCCTTTAAAAGGTCCCTCAGTCTTGTTTTGAAGGCACCACAATCATGGGGAAGACTTCTGACTTAACAGCTGTCCAAAAGACAATCATTGACACCTTGCACAAGGAGGGCAAGACACAAAAGGTGATTGCTAAAGAAGCTGGCTGTTCGCAGAGCTCTGTGTCCAAGCACATTAACAGACAGGCGAAGGGACGGAAAAAATGTGGTAGAAAAAAGTGTACAAGCTCTAGGGATAACCGCACCCTGCAGAGAATTGTGACGACAAACCCATTCAAAAATGTGGGGGAGATCCACAAAGAGTGGACTGCAGCTGGAGTCAGCGCTTCAAGAACCACCACGAGGAGACTCATGAAAGACATGGGATTCAGGTGTCGCATTCCGTGTGTCAAGCCACTCTTGAACAAGAAACAGCGCAAGAAGCGTCTCGCCTGGGCCAAGGACAAAAAGGACTGGACTGATGCTGAGTGGTCCAAAGTTATGTTTTCTGATGAAAGCAAGTTCTGCATTTCCTTTGGAAATCAAGGACCCAGAGTCTGGAGGAAGAGCGGAGAAGCACAGAATCCACGTTGCATGAGGTCCAGTGTAAAGTTTCCACCGTCAGTGATGGTGTGGGGTGCCATGTCATCTGCCGGTGTTGGCCCACTCTGTTTCCTGAGGTCCAGGGTCAATGCAGCCGTCTACCAGGAAGTTTTAGAGCACTTCATGCTTCCTGCTGCTGACCAACTTTATGGGGATGCAGACTTCACCTTTCAACAGGACTTGGCACCTGCACACAGTGCCAAAACCACCAGCACCTGGTTCAAGGACCATGGTATCCCTGTCCTTGATTGGCCAGCAAACTCGCCTGACCTTAACCCCATAGAAAATCTATGGGGTATTGTGAAGCGGAGGATGCAATACGCTAGACCCAACAATGCAGAGGAGCTGAAGACGACTATCAGAGCAACCTGGGCTCTCATAACACCTGAGCAGTGCCACAGACTGATCGAGTCCATGCCACGCCGCATTACTGCAGTTATTGAGGCAAAAGGAGCCCCGACTAAGTATTGAGTGCTATACATGCACATTCTTTTCATGTTCATTCTTTTCAGTTGGCCAACATTAGAGAAACAAACATTTTTTCATTGGTCTTTAGAATATTCTAATTTTCTGAGATACCAGATTTGATGTTTTCATTGGTTGTCACCTATAAATATCAAATTTAAATGTAATGAACATTGGAAATACATTGGTCTGTGTGCATTGCATGAATATAATGTACAAGTTTCACGTTTTGAATGGAATTACTGAAATATTTTCAACCTTTTGATGATATTCTAATTTACTGGCCAGCACCTGTACAACAGAGACAGTGACTCTTCTTGTTTCCTGTAAGTACGTCATGGTTCAGCTGCTTCTGATCAATAAAGTTCATGTGAGTCCCATTTTCCTCAGATGCTCCTAAAGACACCTCAGCATCCATCAGTCCATCAGGTTTGGTGTCAGCAGGTAGCTGGGTGAAGCTGAGCTGCTCCAGCAGAGCCAAGCCTCCCGTCAGCAGCTTCAGCTGGTTCAGGATCAGCTCAGAGGGACCCGTTCAAGTATCTGAGGAGCAGCTTTACAGCTTCAACGTCTCTGAGGGAGGAGAGTTTTACTGTGTGGCTGCAAATAATCTGGGGAATCAGACGTCATCATGGATCCCTTTGAACATAACAGGTAAAAACTAGTTTTTATTGCCTTGTTTTTATAGATTTTGATTGATGCTGCTCTGTAACTCCTTGCTTTAATACTCCTGAAGGTTTTGCCTAAATCTTCTCTGCACGAATACATTTCTAAATATCCCTAACTAATGAACTCTTCACTAATATTAGTTACTTGAATTTACGTTTGTAGGAACAGAGAACTCTCACACATGGATTCCATACGCTGCATGGATCATGGGCTTGTGCTCATCTTTCTGATCATGTTTGTTTGGTGAGTATCAAAAACAGAACATTTAACTTAATAATGCCTTTCTACTTCTCAGCTGGATCCAAGGTAGAAATTAGTGCACCAGGTACAGCACCTGTGAGCTAAACAGATGTTGTACCTGTCTTAGATCAGATCTGAGAGAGAATATATTGAATCACATTTACTGACAATGGAGAAAAATGAATGTGTGAGACCTCTGATTACTGACTCCATGAACAGATTGAGTTGCTTCATGTTAAGAAAAACACGTGTTCAGGTTTCTTGTTGAGTTTTTATTTTTTGTATTATCTGTTTTCACTGAACTTTATTATCAGTCTTAACTTGGCAGGTTTATTCTGACAGCTCTCTCATGTCTTCCAGCTGCTTATGGATCAAACATCAAACTCAACGACAGACTCGGGTGGGTAAATGTTAAACTTCTCTCTTCTGCACTGATTTGTTTTCATCGCTGAGACAATATCTGTAAAAATCTACAGAGTGAGATATATGAGGAGGCCGATGCTCAAGCAGAACTCCATTATGGAGATGTGACGTTTGTCAAGAGGAGACCTGAAGCTTCTCAGAGCAGCGTCTCAGAGCAAGACAGAGGACAGCAGGAAGAGACAGTGTACTCACAGGTCAAAGTGTCCTAACCAGAAAAACAATCGACACAAGCTACTGCCGGTCTAGAGGATTTCTACGCTCAAGAGATGAAGAAATAATGTTTGTTGCGAGATCAAAGCTATTTAATGTTCTTTATCTGTCAAATATAAACATGAAAAAGCTATTTTACATGATTTTTAAATCTATTTTTAACCCTGATTCTTTATCTATTGGTCATTTTTCTAATTTTGCTTTTAAGGATGGCATGAAAAGGGTTTTTGCTTTGCAGCAGTTTTATTTAGACCTACAGCAGCTGTTTGATCAGTTTCATTTGTTCTGTTTGGTCCAAAATTAATAAACTGAATTGAGGATTAATAATCTGTTTAATCTGTGCATCACAAACCTTTGTTGTAGAACTGGATCTAGGATTTCTTTTCATTTCATTTTTTTAAAGGTGTGGTTGACTGAAAAAAAACATTTTTAAATGCTTTTTCTGATTATAATCTGTCACTCTGAGTTTTTTATCCAGGCTGAACATGAAAATAGTCTCCTACACCTATCTCCTGCATTAGCTTCTGATAGAAAATAGACTGTGCAACTCTAGGATTTAAAAATCCTCACAGATCTACATCACACTGTAAATTATCATTGATGGACTCACCCGTCTTGACTCACGATGGAGAAGGCTGCTGTTGTTGTTTTAACGTCCAGATGTAACGTAGTTTAAACTAACCATTAGCATTAACATTTTCCCCTCACAGCAGAACTCCTCCAGACTTGTGTTATTTGTAGAGATAAAGCATCAACACTGCAGAGAAAAGAGTCAGTGGTATATTCATGTTGCACGTTACACGTTCTAGCATTTAGTCTAACAATAATAAATACATGTTTCACTGCTATGCACACTCTTGGCATTCTCTTGATGAGCTTCAAGAGGTAGTCACCTGAAATGATTTTCCAACAGTCTTGAAGGAGTTCCCAGAGGTGTTTAGCACTTGTTGGCAACAAGAGTGTGTAAAGCAGTAATCAGAGCAAAGGGTGGCTATTCTGAAGAAAACAGGATATAAAACATGTTTTCTGTTATTTCACCTTTTTTGGTTGAGTACATAACTTCACATGTGTTCATTCTGTCATGAGCTGGTGTCATGATGTTCAGGCATCCTGCCTCTACATTGCTGTGCCCCACCTAATTATGCTCACGTGTTGCTTATCTACTCATGATTGTCTAATCATCTCCACCTGTGTCCTTCAGGATATGGGCTTCCTCCAGCCACTACTCTGTGCCAGATTATCTGAAGTTCTTACAGACGAAATCCAACCTTTACCAAGCCCTTCTACATTTTTTGACCCTGTTTCTGCTCCCAGGACTCCTGCCCTTGCCTGCTAAATCCCACAGACCTGGATCTCCTAGCTATCGACCCCTGCCTCCTCTCTGATTCCTCTCTGCCTGCTGGACCTTGGTGCCTTCCTGATATCTGACCTCTGTGTACCCACCTGGACTGTACTCATGACCACAACCCCTGGATCGCCCTCCCATGGTGAGAGATTGCTAACCATCTGCTCTGTTTATGTTCCAGTGCTGCTCGTCAGGAAACTCTCAGCAGTCCAGCAAAAGGTTCCTGTGCTCAGCGTCTAGGACAGAGCAATGAATCCTCACCAATAAAGAACTATTACTGCTTCATTCTGGTGTTGGCTGAATTCTTGGGTCCGATTCACTCCAGATTCTGGTTCTGACAGCCGGAGTCAGTACTCTATCTTTCCACCTTTTTGAGTGTTTTGCAGGAGAGGGAGTTTCCCAGCTGCACCTGGTTAGCAATTAGTGGGTCCTTCTTCTTAAGGAGGATGGAGAACACACCTCAACGCTGGATGATTGCTACAGCTTGGTCTTAAGATGTCTCAGGATACAGCAACTCCTCAGGATTATTCACTCATGCTCCATAGGACTTCTGGACTCTGATTAGTTCTCCTTCCATCCTGAATGACCCGCTCCCCTACTCGCCTCACGCTCCCTCTCCTGGTAAACCCTGCCCCCCTCATTCCTGTGCTTCCCCTCAACTCGCAACGCTGCGCTCCCGTTCTCCATCCCACTGGGACTTCCCAGTGCGCCTTCTCTTCCCTGTTTTCAATAAATACATATTAAATTCCATTCTGTGTTTGGGTTGTGATTCTGTATGACTTGGGTTAGACGTATTTCATAGACCATGACACATCCATAGTTTTGATGCCTTTTAAAAGCACAAAGGTTCATTATTTTTAGGTGTCTGTTCTTCACATGAAAGAGGAAATCACCATTCTTCATTGTGGTGGCATCGTGATGTTTTCCTGTTTTAGATGTGTGACTCATCTGTTCTGCTGCCTGTTAAACATCCAGAAGATCTTTACAAGTGACTGTGCACTTTTGAAGACCCTGTTTTCATCTAAAATGAACTTTTTAGGAGCTGACTGTTCTGTAGCTTTTGACAAATAAGCAGAACACTTTTTTCTTTTACAGAAACTTTAAAATTAAACGTCACCTTAAACAGATGAGCTAAGATATGAGGCTTCTGCAGAGCTAACCAGGTTCCTATTCTACATCTTGTAGATAACATGCAGAGTTTGCAGAACTATCAGCATCACTGTTTCTGCACAATGCCCTCAGATGTGTGAAACCACAAAACTCTAAAAGTTGGTTTTCATGGTTTAAAATGTTTCTTGTAAACTCAACAGTTTTCTCGCCAATTCCTACTTTGACTCTACCCTTAAGATTATTTCCTTTCCCAGCATTTGAAAAAGAAACAGTAAATTAAAGGTTAAAGTTAGATACCAGGCTGCGGTCTTTCTGTAGAGTTAGCATATTCTCCTTGTGCTTAAGTGGCTAGGGGTGTGGGTGGGTGTGTGTGTGGGTGGGGGGGGGGGGACTGTTTGGTGGCATCAGCTTGTGTAGGCCAGACAACGCCTGTACTGCCCCTCTCACTATGTGTGACAGAGAGAAACTTTCTTATTATACATCACTTAATATTTCATAAAAATGTGTCATTCCTATCAGTAGGCCGTAGTTTGGTTCATGACTAACATTGTAAGTATTTGAAATCTGCCATTAAACATGTGTAGCTATGAGTTAGCTATGCGGCCTTTCTGCGTGGAGTTGCGTGTTCTCCCCATGCATGCGTGGGTTTCCTCCAGGTACTCCGGTTTCCCCCACAGATCACAACATGCCCTGTAGGTTATAAATTGTAAGTCGCTTTGGATTAAAGCGTCTGCCAAATAAACATAAACATATATTTGAAAGATTGTCACTGTAGCGTTATGAATATTATAATTGTCTGCCCCTTCACACAGTAACATCGCCAAGGTCGGACGCTTGGTTCAGTATGTTTACATTCCATGAGAAGAGACAGAAGAAGAGAAGAAGAATGTTTTTCCTTAATTTATCAAAGTACTTTATTCGTGATAAAGCTAATCAGAGCATATGTTGATCATTAATAATCAGGTGAATGATCTGTGAAATAAAGATGTCATGAGTTATGTGTTTAATGAATAAACAGGACTGCACCAGACAGACTGATCTACATTACCATGGAAACGCATGACACATTGTTTTCAACCAATCAGAACTTTCGTCTGTGGTAGAGAGAATCTGGGATGTTTACTTAATCTGTCCAATCCGGTTTACTAAGACTGGTAAACAATTAGGGGATATAAAACAAGGCAAAGCCATTTTATACTCAGTTCCATGTTAACCTCAGTTCCGTTCATTTGGAGGTCCTAAGGATTTCCATCGTCATCATTAAGAAAGTTACAGGCTGGTCAGCTGTACTTTCTACTTTAAGCTGAGAACTGTCAAGCTGGAAATTTCCATCGTTTGAACAACTAGACGACGTTCCTTCAAAATAAGAGTGAACTTGCTGACGCCTGCCGACTGCTACCGGAGCCGACCCACAGACGGGCTTTGCTGCGACCGCTGTTTCACCAGCTCCGGTACATCCGAGGTCCGAGGACCTGGCATTTCCTCATCTACACGGGAGACTCCATAGGTACATGGTCACGGCACAAAATGACGGCTCATGTCATCAGCGTCTGAAGCCTCGTGGTAGCCTAGTCATAACAACTAGATTCACTACGTCAGTCTAGAGATTCTGAACAACACACACACACACACACACACACACACACACACACACGAAACATCCAAATCCATATGCATCCATCATTGAGATAGTCCTGGTAGATTGTAAGAATTTATAATTATAGAAATTAAAGAGTCTTAAATGATCCCAACTCTCTCTTTGATGGATGCATATGGATTCAAACACTGCCCTCTGCTGACCCTAACAGAGATTACAGGAAGCTGCTGTTCACCAGAAGTGGACTCCTGCCCAAACCTCAGTTATTAAAAGGTTTAATTCATTTTTATTTATTTTATTAGCATCACCAATCACAAATTATTCAAATAATTTTATAGACACATATCAATCAATTAAACAACTTTTATTTATATAGCACGTGCACACACACACACACACACACACGAAACATCCAAATCCATATGCATCCATCATTGAGATAGTCCTGGTAGATTGTAAGAATTTATAATTATAGAAATTAAAGATTCTTAAACGATCCCAACTCTCTCTTTGATGGATGCATATGGATTCAAACACTGCCCTCTGCTGACCCTAACAGAGATTACAGGAAGCTGCTGTTCACCAGAAGTGGACTCCTGCCCAAACCTCAGTTATTAAAAGGTTTAATTCACTTTTATTTATTTTATTAGCATCACCAATCACAAATTATTCAAATAATTTTATATACACATATCAATCAATTAAACAACTTTTATTTATATAGCACGTGCACACACACACACACACACACACACACACACACACACACACACACACACACACACACACACACACACACACACACACACACACACACACACACACGCACACACACACACACACACACACACACACACACATATACATACATGCCCCCTTCCCCATGGTTAAAAAACACGATTGACTGAGATCAGATGAGCCAGACCAGCTGAGATAAGGATAAGGAAACACCATCAGGGTAGCCATCCGCCCCAGCAGCAGCCGAGGCACCAACATAGGGCACCCAGGGCAGGGAGGGCAGAGACCCCCACCTCCACCTAGGCACACCTGGAAAGCATCCAGGCCGCCACAGCCGGCCACCGCCACTGGGGCAGAGGGCTCCCACAGAGGAAGCACTGGAAAAAGGTTAAATCAAGGTTAAAATGTAAAATCAAAAGAGCTAAAATGAGAACTGTATTATAAAAAGTTATATAGATATTAAAATAATGTTGATAACAAATCATGGTAAAAAAATGTTTAGAAACCACGTATAAAGAAAGAATACATTAAATAAATAAATAAATAAATAACCTTAGTAATTCAATAATTTAAAAAGTGATAGTATTCAGTTAAAAGCTAAGCTAAAAAGATTAGTCTTGAGCCTGTTTCTAAAAACATGAACGTTCTCAGAAGCCCTGAGGTCCCCTGGCAGCTCGTTCCAGAGGCGAGGACCGTAGTATTGGAAGGACGCCTTGCCGTGAATATGTGTCCTGACTTTAGGGATGACAAGGAGACGGCTGCCAGAGGAGCGCAGAGACCGCGTGGGTTCATACGGTAAAAGCAGTTCTGAAAGATAAGAAGGCCCAAGACCATTAAGACACTTAAAAACTGTTAAAATTATTTTGAAATCGATCCTGAAACATAAGGGGAGCCAATGCGGTGATTCTAAAACTGGAGTGATGTACTCCCACCACCTGGTCTTCATCAGGACACGTGCTGCTGAGTTTTGTAATAGTTGTAGACCTGAAATCCTCTTTTTAGGAAGACCAGAGAGCAGGGCATTGCAGTAATCTATTCTACTCGTGATAAAAGCATGCATCAGCGTCTCCGTATTGGCCCGAGAGAGAATGGGGTGGACTCTGGCGATGTTCTTTATATGATAAAAACCTATTTTGGTGATATTTTTAATATGATGGATAAAAGTCAGCTCAGAGTCAAAGATGACACCCAGGTTCTTCACTTGTGAAGATGGATTAAGAGACAGTGATTGTAATTTTGGTAAAAGCTTCTCTCTCTGGGCCTCAGGTCCGATAACTAAAACTTCAGTTTTGTCCTGGTTGAGCTGGAGAAAGTTTTCTGCCATCCAGGATTTGATGTTCAACATGCAATTAAAAAGTGTGGCCATACAGCTGTGTATCATCAGCGTAACTGTGGAAATTCACCCCGTGTCTCCTGATGACACTGCCAAGAGGGAGCATATACAGGGAATGCAGAATTATCAGGCAAATGAGTATTTTGTCCGCATCATCTTCTTCATGCATGTTATCTTACTCCAAGCTGTATAGGCTCGAAAGCCTACTGCCAATCAAGCATATTAGGTGATGTACATCTCTGTAATGAGAAGGGGTGTGGTCTAATGACATCAACACCCTATATCAGGTGTGCATAATTATTAGGCAACTTCCTTTCCTTTGGCAAAATGGGTCAAAAGAAGGACTTGACAGGCTCAGAAAAGTCAAAAATAGTGAGATATCTTGCAGAGGGATGCAGCAGTCTTAAAATTGCAAAGCTTCTGAAGCGTGATCATCGAACAATTAAGCGTTTCATTAAAAATAGTCAACAGGGTTGCAAGAAGCGTGTGGACAAACCAAGGTGCAAAATAACTGCCCATGAACTGAGAAAAGTCAAGCGTGCAGCTGCCAAGATGCCACTTGCCACCAGTTTGGCCATATTTCAGAGCTGCAACATCACTGGAGTGCCCAAAAGCACAAGGTGTGCAATACTCAGAGACATGGCCAAGGTAAGAAAGGCTGAAAGACGACCACCACTGAACAAGACACACAAGCTGAAACGTCAAGACTGGGCCAAGAAATATCTCAAGACTGATTTTTCTAAGATGTGGAGATGTTATATTGGTTTCACTGGTAAAAATAAATAATTGAAATGGTTATATATTTGTTTTTGTTAAGTTGCCTAATAATTATGCACAGTAATTGTCAGCTGCACACACAGATATCCCCCTAAAATAGCTAAAACTTCAAACAAACTAAAAACTACTTCTAAAAACATTCAGCTTTGATATTAATGAGTTGTTTGGGTTCATTGAGAACATGGTTGTTGTTCAATAATAAAATTATTCCTCAAAAATGCAACTTGCCTAAAAATTCTGCACTTCCTTTAAATGTTAAAAAGCACTGGGCCTAAAATTGAACCCTGGGGCACACCAAATGTAATCCCATGAACCCTCGAGGAACAGGTATCCAAACTCACCATAAAAGTCCTGTCTGTGAGGTAGGATGTGAAGCATATGTGAACAGCACCAGAGAGGCCGATCCGTTTCAAACGAGTTAAAAGAATAGTGTGGTCTACTGTATCAAAGGCAGCACTTAGATCCAGTAGAACCAACACAGTCACCTTCCATTTATCATAATTTACTCTAAAATCATTTTAGCACAGCAACATACTTGTTCAACATTCATTTAAATGATTGTTAAAATCTTATCAATTGTTCTGGTGCAACTGTGAAAATGACTTGAAAAAGTAAGTGTGGAAAAATAAAAACCATTAAAACCAAACAAAGGACCTCCCTCTGACAGTGAAGCTGACATCTTCTCGTCTGTCATGAAGTCTGGATCTCGACCCCTCTGCTCTGATTCTTCTGAGTCCTGCCGACTTGAAACAACAGAGAAATGAGACGTTGCTCTGCCGTGTGTTTAATGAGAATATTAATGTTTAATGAGAATATTAATGTTAAAGAGATAACCTGAGACTTTCTGATTAGAATGAAAACAAAACAAAGATACTTTACATAAAGCTGCATTTTACACTGATATTTGTAAATAGAGAAGCTGTATGTTCACCATCACTATCTCTGATAGATTTTAATATCTGCTGGTTTACCTTCTCGTTTTGTTGGAGAATCTGAACCAGCTGAAAGGAAAACAGAAGAGAATGATGTTACATGTAACAGAGACCAACAGCTGCAGACTATTCAGCTCATAGAAACATGTCTCACCAGAGGAAGATGATGAAGGAGCTGCAGAGCATCACAATTCCCACTATCTTCGCTGTAAGATGGTTGGTCTATCTGTAACAGGACAACATGATCCGCTTCTCATCAGTGGAAAATGTTCTGACTCTAAATGACCAAAACTTTATTTCTGCTGTTTGCACATGAGACACATCTAATGTGACGTAAAACTTCTGTGTTATGAATTACAACGTAAACCAATGTGATTGATGTAAATTATAGTTTATGTGAATATCAATGGAAAAATTGTAAAATGTGATTAAAGTAACAACATTCAGTACACGACTACCTATGACACGAGAGATGATGTCAATCACAAAACTATAAAAACTGTTTTTACCTGTTATGCTCAAAGGGATCCATGATGATGTCTGATTTCCCAGATGATTTGCAGCCACACAGTAAAACTCTCCTCCCTCAGAAATGTTGAAGCTGTAAAGTTGCTCCTCAGATACTTTTCCAACTAAGAGACCCCCCAACCCCCACCCCTGAAATTGGATTTCACTTCCATTAGTACCAAGTATCAGCTCTAGCTCAAATTTTCAGAACCATTCCTTGGTGAGTTCTGCTTGCTCTGAGTAAGTACCATGATGCATTACCTAAACGGTGTACTGTCGCTGATTGGCTAGGGAGTGGAACCACTAGTCGTCTTACTAAAGCAGCGACTCACACAAAAACCTACACTCGAACCGCCATTTTTTAAAACTGTGACTGTGGTGCTTGTACGTGATGATGGCCAACTCCAAAATAATTCACTGGAGCAAGGGTGAGGTGCTGCAGACCTTTCTGTACCTGGTGGCTACTAACTTACTGGTTCTGTGGGGCAGAGGGCAGGACTCTTGAAGGCTCTACATCAAATACAGGCCATTAACCATTAATCTCCATTGTATGGAAACACAACCGTGTAGACTAGATTAAATCTGAGTCGTGCAGAGCAGGTACTAATGGAACTGAGGCTATTGTGAGCTAGCTCTCAGGAAGGGAGGAGGTAAGTGACTCAAACATGCTGTTAGCAGAGAGATGCAACTGTGAACCAATGAGCTACAGTATTCTTGTCATGTGAGCTTTGTACTCAGCCCCCTCCAGCTGCATTTTTATAGTTGTCTAAATGGGAGAAAGGGACAGTTTTATGTCTGTTTCAGATTGGAGTAAACTTAGTTTAGTGCAGGGGTGTCCTAAGTGCGGCCTGGGGGCCAAACGAGGCAGCCTGGAGTGGCCCTCATTAGCATTTTGAGAATATTGGAATTAAGTCTCTACAGGAAGCTTTTGATATTAATTCATATATTTTATTATTTCATGTCTAACTTTATATCTATTTTAGGCCTTTTTGAGCAGAACAAATGAAAAATATAAAATGATGTTTGAATTCTTAAAATAAAAAAATGTATGGCGCTTGAAGAGTTTTAACTTCATGATTTTGGCCCTTGTCTTGAAAAGTTTGGACATCCCTGGTCTAGTGTATTGACTCCTCTGGTGGAACACTGATCAAACTGTACAAAACCCGGAGGTACAGCTTTCAGTCACTATTTAAATCACCAGCAACCAGGATTAAATTAGCTTTCTTTTAAACAGCCTGCAGTCACATTTGCTCCACCAAAGGCAGCTTCTATAATTAACTAATGTTCTGTTACAGCAGAGGATGCAGTAAGTCAGAGACCAGCAGAGGGAGCTAAAAGAACAAAACACTCAGAAAATCTTGCTCTGCTGATTTTTTTTCTCATTTATACAAAATTAGACCATTTATGCACCAGCCTTATGTCCATCCTCTCCTCTGGGCAGGTATATTTAAACATCAGATCAAGTGTTGGAGAAACCAGCATTGTGCTTTATGCTTTTGAATAGTCTTGTTATTAAATTAATAAATCTAGTGTTTATGAGTAAGGTGACACATGGAGCCAGAGCAACAAACAACAGGAAGTGTTTGTGTCTCTAGTCTGGTGTTTGTTCATCTGTAATAAACACAGTCTCACATTAATTCAATAAAACTCTTCAGAAATCTAACGTTTTCTTTTTACATTAAAACTCGCAAACAAAAACTGTGAAAAATCTGTTTTACAAATGCTCTTAAAACAGTATTCTAAAAATATAATATTTTTGCAACAAAATGAAAATGACCTTAACAGACAAATTGTGATTTTGGGCGTTTGAAGCATGATAAAGACAAACGTTACAGACAGAACTACATAATGGGTTAGGGCTAGGACGTCTTCCTCGTCTCCTTGTGTCTCATGATGTCTGAATCTCTATCACTCTGTTGACATAAACAGCTTCTTCATTCTCCTGTGGACATAAAACAACAGATATGTGATCTTCTAGAGGATTTACTGCAGTTCCAAGTATTTATTTACTATATTTACAACAAACACGTCCACTGATAAATAACAGCAAACTGACTCTACTTTCAACAAATGAAAACATGATGATTCAGCTGCTCTGCTGCTGTTTTCACCACATTAATCTTTCCTCTAATCATCTGTAAATGTGATGAACACGAAGATTCATTCAGACTATAAACAGCTGGATCCTCTAACAGCTGTTTTATTTCCACCTGTTCACACAGACTAAACTGATCCGCCTCATTAGTGCACTTCAGAAGATATCTGGTGCTGATTCTTATTCTGATTTATTACACATTGATGTCAGATATTTTTAGAGGAAAATAATTAGTTTGTTTTACTGTCATGTTACCTTCTTTGGTTTCAGGGAGAATCTTGATTTAAACCAGCTGGAACAAGAAAACAGGGAATATTATCTGAAGCTAAACACCAACAGATCAGCTGTAAACTATTAACTCATAAAAACATCTCACCACTCAAACATGAGGACTGAGCTGCAGAGTATCACTAATCCCAGGATCTTCGCTGTAATATGAGCACTGAGTCCAGACGCTTTATCTGTAACAAAACAAGCTCAGCTCCTCCTATAAAAGTGATTTCCTGTCATATTATTGTAAACAGTTTTATACTTGTGTTTTGAAGAAGAGTACAATCTGAAATGAAGTAATGCTGCAGAAAAATCTAATGAGTAAATAAGCAATGGGACACTGAGTCAAAAAAAGTTGTTTTTGTTTTTAAAACATAATTAGTCTAATGAATCAGATTATTTGAACCACAACTTTTCAGTTCATTTATTTCATTAACGGTTTCTGAAAATCATTCAGATCTCTTAAAAAAAGGAAACAAAAACACAAGTTTTAATTCGTTACCCTCCAGACAGATCAGTGATGGCGTCTGATTCCCCAGATTATTTGCAGCCACACAGTAAAATTCTCCTCCCTCAGAGACGTTGAAGCTGTAAAGCTGCTCCTCAGATACTTGAACGGGTCCCTCTGAGCTGTTCCTGAACCAGCTGAAGCTGCTGACGGGAGGCTTGGCTCTGCTGGAGCAGCTCAGCTTCACCCAGCTACCTGCTGACACCAAACCTGATGGACTGATGGATGCTGAGGTGTCTTTAGGAGCATCTGAGGAAAATGGGACTCACATGAACTTTATTGATCAGAAGCAGCTGAACCATGACGTGCTGACAGGATCACTTACAGGAAACAAGAAGAGTCACTGTCTCTGTTGTATTCAGACATTTTCCTCCATCCACAGGGTATGAGACAGAACATGTGATGTTGTATCCATCATGTGTGTCTGACAGAGTCATGTTCTCCTGGATTTTAGTTGTAGAGGTTCCATCTGGGTTCTTCTGTGTTTGTCTGCCAGAGTCTGGTTGGAGATTCCAGGTGAGTTCAGGAGGTGAGAGTGGACAGGGAGTCGGAGCTGAGCAGGTTATAGAGACAGACTCCTTCTCCTTCAGCTCCTCCAGACCTCCTGAGGTGTTAATCCTGGGACTCCAAGGAGAATCTGGGATTTCACATGAAATTTATTTTACATTAATAAAAAAGCATCGATACAATAAGTATGAAAATATGAATTTTTACATGAGTTTTTTTTGCAATGTGATCAACTGTCCACAAGAGGGGGGCAGCTGCTTGACTTGGGGCACAGTGACAGGAGGGAGGGGCCTCTGCTCTGACCACCAGCAGCAGGCTCAGTGGGTTAAGCGTCTTGTCAAAGGACACAACAACTGCAACCTGTTACAGGGCTGGTGCTCAACTCTTCTGCCACCATCATTCCTACAGTAAAATAAAGAAAGCCCTACGATGGACAAGCTTGTCCAGGACATGGATATTAAATTATCTGCATGCTGATTAGCCGGTTTACCTCAATGGCTCTATGGCACTGCCTGAAGCTAGAAAAATTCAGGAACAGTATCTGGATAAGTCATTAGGAAATCGATGGATTTGGCACCCCATCAAAGTCTGGATATTCCCAGTACATCCTGGAATATTAAACGTGTGCTCCAGCAATGCTTTTCCATTAGCATTACCCCACCAAATGTTTTTCATTTTGCAGATGCTGAAGTGGTTTGGGGCATGCAAATGTAAGGGAATGTGTCCGAGATCATGGCGTGCTAGACCAGCTTTTCTCAGATCGACCTGGGATTAGCAAACAAGATTCCGTCAGTGCTTCCATCTTCTTGGGTGTGGTGATGGAGAGACCTGGTTCCCCCTAAAATAATCACAAGCCCCCCTATCATTTTGGTTTATTTTATTTTTTCAGTTAACTTTTTTTTATTTGTTCACATCTACATGCTCAACACAATCACAACACGTGTAGTTGGTACATGAGTTTTTTTTTTTAGTCTGAAACAGAAATAATAATTAATGAATATAGAACTACACCGTCGCACACAGGAAGTATCAAGAAAGGACTTCCTCCCCTTAAGCCCGGCAGCTTTGTTGACAAGTCAGGGGCAGGGGTTATACAGCAAAACCTTTATATCGTTGAGCAAACCCTGCTCAGCGCTTATGTAAGTCACTCAACATCACATTAGGGTAAGACAGCAACAGCAGCACACGTTAATATTTCAAGGTTATAGTTCAGACGAGAGAGGAAAATGTTACCGCACCGACATGCTAATGCTAACTCCGCTAGCATGTTTACATGCCGCAAACCATAATGAAAAGCCGCGCCATAGTTAAATGGTCGGAAAACTCCCCTGAAGTGACGTGATTAACGAGCCAGCCAGTTCATTGAGTGACTTAGTGCCACCAACTTGAGCGTACAGTAATGAGTCTGCACAAACAGAACCTGCTCTGCGCTTGTGTGCAGCAGCTGCAGCCCTCTGTGGGCTCAACTCTGTCTCTGCGATGCAAATCTCTCCCTGCTCTCCTCAACAAGTAGCCTCTCCAACAGTCAATCACAGACAGCTCTGTTTTATCCAATCAAAGCATGTCCAGGAAATACTGCTTTACAGAAAAACACCCATTTAACAGCTTATTGAACTGCTTTCTGCTGCTGGTTAGCTACCAGTCACCATCCACTGCCTGCAAGATACTTTGTTGTAATTCATGTGTCATGATTAGAGTGACCATATTTGACTTCCAGAAAAGACACATTGCCCATTCCTAAAACTGTTAAATTGCACTATTTTCAGTTAAAGAGGACTTTTAATTTCAACATATAAAGTGTTTCTTCTCTGATTGGTTAGACATAAATGATCCCTTGATGTGTAAAAGGAAGTGAACAGTGGAAATGTCCCAGGAAAAGAGGAGGGTTAATCAACCTAAATAAATATATCTTAGGTGTGTTCTTGCTGTGTCTTTCTAATTCCATGCTTCCGTTCTTTTTAAACACAGAAACAGTTTTGTTTACCTGTTTTGTAGCTACAGTTTCGCCGACGGCTGCCGGCTTCTTCAGGCTGACGCTGAAGAAACAAAACTGTTTCTGTGTTTAAAAAGAACGAAAACATGGTAAATAAATATAATTATATAAAGTCCTATTTATCTGAAAAAAGTGCAATTTTCCTGGCAGTAGTTCCTGGACATGCTTTGATTGCATAATAGAGAGCTGTCTGATTGGCTGACGGAGAGACTACATTGCTTTGTAAATTGCAAATTGAGCAACAACAGGGAGATTTGTGCAGGCAGAGACGGAGTTGAGCATGCAGAGAGAGGGCCGCATATGACTGCAGAGCAGGTTGTGCTCTTGCAGATTGATCACTGCATGCTCCAGTTGGTGGCACAAAAATCACTCCACACTAAAAACATGAATCAGAATATGGCCGAATGTGTATATTATTGACCATTTTTCTATATTATATATTTTTTCTATAATATATATATTATATTATAGGTACATATATGTATCTATAATATAGTAAACAGCCAGTTGTATATATGTCACATATATTCAAAAGCTACATCAAAACATATATTAAAACCTATATGTTTATATGAATTCTTTCCATGTGGGTTGTCAATTGCTTAATATCTCCTATGTTTACCTATGGGAAAGAAAGGAGATATTGTACTCATCTAACTTTAACATAAATTTTGGCAGCTTAATGTGATGTTATGGAAAATGCCATCATCATGAGCAACCAAACATAGGCTATATTAGGCTAACAGTTGTCCATATTCTGTCCCATCCAAGGGCGTCAGTTTGTTTTCAGAATTGCTGGGGACAATAACCATACACTTGAGTGGGGTTTAAAAATTGCTGGGGACAATAAAGTAGGCTAGCACAGGGGTCGGCAATCCGCGGCTCTGGAGCCGCATGCGGCTCTTCCATCCATCTGATGCAACTCTCTGTGCTTGTAAAATAATAAATGGATATTTAAATAAAATGCTTTATATTTTACTGCATTAATTTTACACCTGTATGCCAATTCTAAATGTAGATTGTCTGCGTAAACCTGAACAGGTCCAACCCGGTCTGCGGTGGTTGACCGGTCACGCTTGTGCGTAATCATATAGGCACTTTATGAGCTGAAGAGGATGTGAGATTCTGGGCTTCTCCTCAGACGGCTCCTGGATGTGTCGCCACATTGGAGACAGGAACAAGCGCTATTCAGCCAAAGTTTCATAATCAGGGAACATTTTCTAAGTGACAAGTCTCTCAGAGAGACAGGGTTTGGAAAACACTCGCTTCAGTGGGAGGAATCTTCCCGCATGCGCACTGCATGGTTCTCTGCGTGGCTCTAGGGTTAATCAAGTTTAATTGTTTCTCTTTGCAACAATCTTCACAGGAAGGCAAAACAGTTAAACGGCAGGTTACATGTATTTCCATTTGACTGTTTATTTTGACAGATGTACTCAAGGATGTTGCTTGGTTTGAAAAAATTACCCCGACGCACACGGATGCTCATGGATGAGCTGACATTTTAATCGTTAACGCACACGCGGAGGTAAAATATTCCCATCAGAACATCAGAGCTCTTTATACTGGACACTGTGTTCAGCGCGGCTCGGAGCGCCCCCGGTGGACAGTGAGCTGAAGATCTGGGGTTCGCAGTGCAGCGCAGTGCAGAACCACGCGCATGCGATGATTTCCTCCCACTGAAGCGTTCTGGAAACCCGGTCTCTCTGAGGGATGTGTCACTTGGAAAATGTTCTTTTTATGAAATTATGAAACTTTGGCTGAACAGCGCTTGTTCCCGTCTAGTTCCGCATGAAGCGTAGAGACATTTGATCACGCACAAAGTTTATGTGGAGCAGAAGCGGTCGGGCCACGGCAGGTGAAACGTTCCTGGCTACATGAAGTGAAACTGTTTAATTGTAACATTAATATGTTACTGGACACGCTGGTCTGGTTGGTTAGACCAGTGTTTGAAGTGGAAAACACACACACACACACACACACACACACACACACACACACACCAATTAAAATATAAAATAATGCTGATAGCGTGGACTAGAAGACAGGTGATGGTTTACGTATTTAAATGATGATCAGGCTGCTGTAAAATGTAATCTCCATCCACATCCAGACACCATTATCCTCTATTCTTTCTCTAGTCGCTCTGCTCTTGTCTGGGCTGATCAGCTGATGGTGCGCGCGCGCCTAACTAGCGGCTGATGCACATTTTACGCATTTGGAGAGGTGGACTGGATGCTGTGCGTTTACTGGAAGATGGTCCACTTAACGCACGGGTGTAGACTACATATTAATGACAAATGAATGAAAATTAAATTGTGAGTTTTTACTTCATATTTTAGAAATAAAAATGACGGGGGAACACATTTATGACATCTTTTTAAACGAAATTTTCTAGCGCGACCTGCCTGCTTCACTTAAGTCACTGCTTATTAAGGTCCGTCCAAAATTACCGTGGGAAACGGGTAATAATGGTTCTTTGATGGGAACAGGGTGCCGACCCCTGGATAAGATCTGAGCTGGTAAAACAAAAATCCTCATCAGCAGGCGTTTTTGAAAGTGGGGGGGACACAGCTGCCAATCACAAATTTTGCCGGGGACATGTCCCCGGCGTCCCCGGTTAAAATGACGCCTATGGTTCCATCTATCCACCAATGGCTGTTTCAGTTATTGTGAGTGAAAACTAAATGGCTTAGTAGCATTTGTTCTGGCATTAGAAATTGAAAATGTTTTTCATTGTGTTGGCTAGATGGATATACGAAGATTTTTTTAAGAGAGTGAGTGAGGAACAGGAGAGAGACCAGATGGTTGATGCTGAGGAGATCTGCATGGTCAAGGTCAGTGATCTACAGCTAAAACACGGGCGAGCGCACCGTTATGAGCATTTACCTGAGCACAAAGTTCCCAAGCAAAATTGAACAGTTTTCTATTTAGGAGTGAACAGGTAAGATACCTTGAGAAAAAAAACTATAATTATCATGTGACCTGCAACCTTATGTCAAGTTGTATCTGTATAGTTGACTTTCTGTATTATAAGTTCTACTACTTGCTGGATATTTTCATATATACTGTTATTTTGTCTTGTAATAGTTAATTATATACTCCTTTATTCCATATCATAACAGTGTTATTCATATATTAAAACTGTCAACTGCACACTCATTTGGCAGTATAAAAGTTTGACAATTATTCATTTGTTCTTTATTGTCACATTTCAGTAACAGTTATAATTAAACAAGTTGTAATTAAACAAATTAAATAAATGACTACATCATTTCCCCCTGTTAAGTGCAGTAGACTGAAATGAATAGCTTTATTTGGAAATATAACATATCAAATTTTTAATGGACTTACATAAAATCTTTCTTCAACATAGACCCCACTAATTAACTGATTAAGTGTTATTTTTTATAAAAAGAAGAGAGAAAATGCACAAAAGTAGGAAAGGAAAGGAAAGTGATAAAATAATAGGTTTTGTTAGATTTTCTTCAGATAATGAATTAATTAACAAAGTTTTTGCAGGGTGTGACAAAAAACGTTCGAGGTCAAGCTCCTGGGGCTAAGCCCCCCCTATATCTCAATCCTAGTGACGTCCATGCTCCTTATTCCAGTCAGAACTGACAAAGCTCCTCAGATGAGAAGCGGAACGTCTTCAAGAAACCAAAGAAGTCCAGCTGCCTCCTTGGATCACCATGACCTGGATGACTGAGAACCTTCACTACGACTCAAGTTAGCTTCACCGATTGAAATTCTAGGTGGATTAATGCAGCTTGATTCATAAACTAATGAAGCAACAGTTCCTAGACAAAAATGAAATTCAAAGAAAATATTTTCCTGCTTCACATTTTCTGAATGTTCATCAGAAACATGTCGTTTTAACCACCAGAGTGTTTTCATGTTTGAGTTTTTACGCAAAGACAAATAAGAACATTAGACAATAAGTTCTAAACATTCATGAAATATTAAATATTTACTAATGTTTAAATGATGATGTGGTTCTATTGCATTTCTGCTGGACAAGCAGAGGTGAGAAATATTAAAATGAGTGGAAACTCTTCATCTTGACAACAAGAACTGTCTTGTTGGATGATAAAGTAAAACTGAAAGTCAAATGTAGTAACCCTGTAAGTATCAGCTCACAAAAACAGCCCAAAAAGTCTTTTAGTGAACTAACCTCAGAAAAACATGTGGTCAAAGTATCTCTTACCAGAACTGTTTGACGGTGAAATTAAGCAGATTTATCCTCCAAAACTGTATCAGCGTGTCGAAGTGGTGAAAAGAGAAGAAAAACAGGATGTGGTGAAATGATCCAGTGATTTTAATTGAAGCAAAGCTAAAAGTTACGTCTAAACGTGATTTCTGTTCTCATCCTTAAAATAACATCAGATTTATCACATCCTAAAATGGTTAAAATCACAATCTTACAGAGAAATTTCCAGAAAATGTGTTGTTGCTCCTGCATGAATGGACAATTTATTATAATAGGATTAATTAGGTGGAATGAGGTTTTGGGTTAGGGTTAAAGGCTCTGGGATGAATGGCCTTTAAATTCCCATTCTGGTCTGCTTGTTACCATTATGGTTGGACTCCCTCAGGTCCATATTTGTGAGGACACCATGTGAGCACCTGTGTAGACTGGTGTGTGTAAGGTTTCCCGACAGGAGTGTCCAATAGGGAGTGTGGAGGGCCACAGTCTTGTCCGCCAAGGCCCGGGGAAGATAGAGGGGATCCAAGCCCCAGCCCCAGTGTGGAAACCCCAGTGCAGGTGTTCTGAAAAAGTACTGTATGATGGATGGGCAACAGACAAGAATGAATCAACTTCAACATAAACAAACCTCCAAAAGACCTAGACAGAATTCCGCCTCAACCAACTGAAGTCTGAGTTACTGAGAAGTTCATTCAGCCTTAAGAAGTACATTGACTCATTGGAACTTGGTGAACTGTGAGAAAATGTGTCTGCTATTCGTGAAACATGTAAAATGAGGATTTACTCCTTTTTCTTCTCTCAGGTCATCTCCAGCCTCGGTTTGGTTAATTTCGGTCTTGCACAACGTTACTTGTGAAGGTACAACATTCTGCAACTCTGTAATCCTGTGCTGACTCAATGATTAAACAAACAAACCTGCACTTTCTCTGTTGCATCGATACTGTCTTGTAAATAAAGTTAGCATGTCCGACTCATTCATTCACATCTATTGACTATGAAACTTGCAGGAATTGTTTATTTATTTACTTGTTTGTTGTGTAAGACTGAAGTTACTCAAGAGGCTGAAGACGTTGCCCTTTTAGCTGCTAGCTGTGCTACAATGATAATGCTAACTTGAATATAAACTTGATTATACAACAGTTAGTCCCAACCGAGTGATTTGATTGGTCAAGAGACTTTCCAAGAGGGCTGATAGCACTGGGACTGTTAACAAACAGTATCACTCCGCTGTGCACAGGCATTCTAACCATCATTGTAGAAAATGTTTGTGTTGCCTAGCAACAGCCTTGTCTGAGTCTCTGTTTCATGTTGGGACTATTTGTGTTGGCGGAGCCTACGACCGAATCACACCAGTGCTGATATTCAGCAACAACGCACGACCTCGAGTGTGATATTGCTTAATTATCCAGCGTGGATTAAGTTTTAGTATTTTCCATTTTGCCATTTGGTTTATTTAAAAAACGCGTTACCTTTGCTACTGCCACTGGAAAGTTCTAGTAATTAACCTGCTATGTGTCTAAGCCACCACAAGGGGCAGCAGCATCTCACTACCCCAAGATACGAGTGGACAGCAGATGCAAACACAGATATTTTATTGATCTCTAAAGGGAACTTGATTTGTTACAGCAGCAGATAAAAAAAAACATACATTTGCACACAAAACAACGGATAAGTTGAAAGTATTGTCAGAAATTTCATTAGGAAATTTAAAATGATTACATTTTTATATTAAACTGTTTATTTTTTTTATTAAAACCTGAACCTGAATTTCCTCTGTCTGCAACACAAATGAACATCTAGACTGTTTATCTTATTTTACTTTTGAGTAGAGATCCTCTGGACTGTCACCAGTCTCTTTGGAGGCTTTAACCTCTGCGTACACCGTCTCTTTCTGTTCCTGCTGTCCCGTGCCTTGCTTTGGCTCAGAGGATGCTTTTACCTTGAAGATGTTCACATCTCCATAATGAAGTTGTGCTTCTTTGGATGGTGTTTCTGCTGAGGCCTTCTCAGCAGATGGATTCTGTGGAAAACAGGATTGGTGTTATTGTCTCATATCTGCAGGTGAAAACAGATCAGTTTAACATTTACGCACCTGACTCTGTTGTTGAGTTTGATGTTTACACTTAAAGCAGCTGGAAGACATTAGAGAACTGTCAGAATTAATCTGGAGTTATTTGGAAACACAAAGACAGATGTCTATAAAAACTGATTAATCTGGCAATCTCTGGATTCTGCTGACAAAATTTAAAATCAAGTAAAGGTCACAAGAAGATGCCTCAACAACATTTTCTTTTTCAAATAACTAACCTATGGCTTAGAATTCAGATGTTTGGTGAACAAACATGCTAAACATCATGTTCTGACCCTAATCTCTGGTTCTGAATATGAAAAAGCATAACAGATTATTTTAGACACTTTAATTTTGAGACTCACCAAACAGCAACAGTCAGACAGATGAGAACCACTCCGAGGACTCCACCCAGAGTTGCCTCCCAGGATTTGTTGAGGTCACCAGTTTGGGTAAGTCCTTGAGAAACAAAAATGTGAAAATCAATGGAAAATACTGACACAGCTCATGTATGAATGAGTTTTTTTTTATTAAGTAACTAAGTTCAGCATCACACACTTAGTTTGATCCATGATGACGTCTGATTCCCCAGATTATTTGCAGCCACGCAGTAAAACTCTCCTCCCTCAGAGACGTTGAAGCTGTAAAGCTGCTCCTCAGATACTTGAACGGGTCCCTTTGAGCTGTTCCTGAACCAGCTGAAGCTGCTGACGGGAGGCTTGGCTCTGCTGGAGCAGCTCAGCTTCACCCAGCTACCTGCTGACACCAAACCTGATGGACTGATGGATGCTGAGGTGTCTTTAGGAGCATCTGAGGAAAATGGGACTCACATGAACTTTATTGATCAGAAGCAGCTGAACCATGACGTGCTGACAGGATCACTTACAGGAAACAAGAAGAGTCACTGTCTCTGTTGTATTCAGACGTTTTCCTCCATCCACAGGGTGTGAGACAGAGCATGTGATGTTGTATCCATCATGTGTGTCTGACAGAGTCATGTTCTCCTGGATTTTAGTTGTAGAGGTTCCATCTGGGTTCTTCTGTGTTTGTCTGTCAGAGTCTGGTTGGAGGTTCCAGGTGAGTTCAGGAGGTGAGAGTGGACAGGGAGTCGGAGCTGAGCAGGTTATAGAGACAGACTCCTTCTCCTTCATGTCCTCCAGACCTCCTGAGATGTTAATCCTGGGTCTCCAAGGAGAATCTGGGATTTCACATGAAATACATTTTACATTAATAAAAAACATCGATACAATAACTAACTTATGAAAACGTTTCATTGTTTAAACCATCAAAGACAAAGATCATCCAGGATCTCACTGATGTAGCAGCTTTTTCTGAAATCAGGTATTTAAACCTTAATTAAACAACTATTGATCTGAACTCCCACAGATAGACTGAGCCAGTTTAACCGATTAATCCCTGTGTTGAAACATTTGTGGATTTTTTTCCTAACCAGTGGGAGACATTTCCCTCTGTACTGGCCGCCAAACTGGCCACTCTGTGATTACCGATGGCTGGGTCATTCTTGATTTTTAAATAAACAACCTGTTGTGTGATTTATTATGGCATCTGTCACAGTAAAGCAGATGCAGCAAGGTTGGGAACAAGGCCAAGTTCAAATTTATTTAAATGGCACCCTTCCAACAGCAACGGTTCGCAGAATGGGATACAATAAAACCAGATAAAACAAGAATAAAGGCAGCATGGGACATTAATGAGCTTGTATGAGTAATAAGCTTCTCTAAAAGCCAAGGTATAGAAAGTAGAAGTGATTTAAAAGATTCTACTGACTGAGCATATGCAACACATTCTCATATTTTGACGCCTTGGGTGCGAGAATGTGTTGTCATATCTGATAATAAGCAGCAGACTGTTCCAGAGCTTGGAACCTGCTACAGATAAAGATCTGTCATCACCAGATTTCTGCTTTGTCCTGAGAATCACCAATAATAACTGAGCTGGACCACAAAGTCCTCTTGGAGTGTGGGTCACCAATATCAATCAATCAATCAATCAAAGCTTACCAGCCACCGTATCATCTGCTGAAGTTGCCCACATGCGCACTTTATTGTTTACAACCAAAACTTTCTTGAAGCTAAAGCTGAAATAATGGCCAAAGGTTGAGACGGCAGCGCTAAGAACATTTATTATCCCTCAAAGAAGACAAAGTGGGAAGTGCGGGCATCTTTGGGATATTTGAAGAATGCCGAGGGACAGTTTATAGAAGACGGCTATCCTGTTTGCAGCACATGCAGGAAAAAGTCAATCAATCAATCAATCAAAGCTTTATTTATAAAGCGCCTTCCGCAACCCTGTCAGGAAGCCCAAGGCGCTGAACATGGTACAGTAGAAGGTAAATATATCGAATAAATCAAAAATAAAAGAAATTCAAATTACAAAATACAAATTACAAAAAAGGTGAAACATTCTGGTACAGGACAAATGTGTAAAACAATGAGTGAACCAGTGAAAACTGTGAAATGAATTCAACATAAAAGAGGGCCAAATTCAAACATGTTCGAGAAACGCCAAGCGGAGGAGGTGTGTTTTTAGGTGACTCTTAAAGACTGGTAGAGATGGGGACAGCCTAACTGAGGGTGGCAACTGGTTCCAGAGTAATGGTGCTAGGACTGAGAAAGCCCGGTCCCCGCGAGTACGACACCTAGAACGAGGGACAGCGAGCAGGCCTTGGTCAGAGGAGCGCAGAGCACTTGATGGGGAATGTCTATTCAGGAGTGTGGCTAGATAGGGGGGACCACCACCCTGGAAGAAATGATAAACAAAGAAGAGGATTTTGAATTGTGAGCGATTGCAAACCGGAAGCCAGTGCAGGGAGGCCAGAACCAGACTGATGTGGTCCCGTTTCCTGGTCCCAGTCAGGAACCTGGCTGTGCTGTTCTACACAACCTGTAGGCGATGCAGTGATGACTGACACAACCCTGCATAGAGAGAGTTGCAGTAATCAAGCCTAGAAATAACAAAGGCATGCAGTACCTGCTCCAGGTGGGCTCTCGACAGCATACGCTTGATTTTTGCAAGGCGTCTCAGGTGAAAGAAACTGGACAGAATTGATATGAGCATCAAATTTAAATCCAGCATCAAGTTTCACCCCCAAACTGGTAACAACTGGTTTTGAGTAGGGAGAAAGAGGGCCAAGATCAACATAACGATCCACATTCCTGCTGTTGGGGTGAAAAACAATTAGCTCTGACTTTCCCTCATTCAGATGTAGAACATTGGCCATTAGCCGTGACTTCACCTCATTAACACAGGACACAAAGGACTGGATAGAGTGACCTTTCTCCTGACACAATGGAGAGTAAATCTGGCAATCGTCAGCATAGAGATGGAATAATAGTTCATGTTTACGAAAGATTGACCCCAGAGGTAGCAGATAAATGGCAAACAAAAGAGGACCAAGGATCGACACCTGCGGGACCCCCCAGCGGAGCCCCTCCCAAGATGAAAAAACATCACCCAGTTTAACGCAGAATGTCCTGTTGTGGAGATACGATCTAAACCAGTCCATAGCAGACCCTTTGATCCCAACCCATCGTTCCAAGCGATCCAGTAGAATCGCATGGTCAACTGTGTCGAAGGCTGCTGTCAGGTCTAACAACAGAAGCACCACAGATGTACCCTGATCTAGTCATAGATAGATAGATGTCATTTAGGACCCTCAGTAGAGCTGACTCTGTGCTATGGCCAGACCTGAACCCTGATTGAAAAACCTCAAACAGATCAGAGTCAGCTAAATGTGAGACCAGCTGCTGATAAACAACTTTCTCAAGCAGTTTTAATGTAAAAGGCAGGGTAGAGATAGGCCTGTAATTTGCAATCACAGAGACATCAGCACTAGGTTTCTTCAGGGTCGGCCAAATAACTGCTGCTTTCAAAGCAGCTGGGACCACACCTGTGCTGAGGCTCCCATTGATTATCTGACCAAGTGAAGGGCCAAGGCACGGAAAGGCAGCCTTCCAGAGACGAGGTGGCAGAACGTCAAGTGGAGAGCCAGATGGCTTCTGCCTCGCAACAAGCTTACTCAGCTCAGAGTATGAAACAGTATTGAGGGAGCTCAGGGTGGGTGGTGATGCAGGAACTGGAACAGGGTCAATAGAGTTACCAGAAATAGCTGCTCTAATGCCTGATACTTTATCAACAAAGAATCTGTGAAAATCTTCAGAGTTTCCAGCGGCTGTAGGAGACATGAAGCTAGGCTCTCGATACACCAGAACAGAATTTAGTGTTTTGTAGAGAATCCTGGGATTCTTGAAGTTTGTTTCGATGATGTCTGCAAAATAGGCCATTCTGGCAGCCCTCACAGCATCCTGATAAGCAACCAGTGATGTTCTGAACAACTCACGCGAGACCTGTAGGCCATCCTTTTTCCACTTTCTCTCAGAGGATCTACACGCCCGCCTACAAGCCCGTGTGACATCAGAGAGCCAATAAGGCTCCCTCCTAGGCCGAGACTTGCAAAGTTTGAGGGGCAACCACGTCCAGGACAAAGTAAATCAAAGTGTTGTGAATAGTGTTCAGTGTTAGATGGATTAGGGTTAAAGGCCTCTAACCTTACAGACATACAGTCCACAAACTTTGAAATAGTTTCTGCATCCAGGGCTCTGAACCTAGTAGCGGGAGCTTCACACACAGGGACAGGACATGGCAACGTAACATCACAGAGTATAGGAGAGTGGTCAGAGAACACAGGAGGCAAAGTCACAAAGTTCATGACAGGGAGACCAAAAGAGAGAACCAGGTCCAGGGTGTGACCCCTGGCATGAGTAGGGGACAATACCAATTGAGTCAAATTGAATGAAACTAGCAAATTCAAAAAGCCTTTAGCAAGCACATTGTCAGGAACGCAGATATGGATGTTAAAATCACCAAAAAATAGGACATAGTCATATTTTAGGATGCAGTCTGCCACAAGATCACAGAAATCATTAAGGAAGTTAGAGTCAGTCTTTGGAGGGCGATAAATCAGCACAACGAGCAGGCGGGGGGAGATGCACAGTTCAAATAAGCACAGTTCGAAGGAAGAAAATGACATGGTGGGTGTAAGCTGTTTACTAGGAAAGCTGGATTTAAAAACAACAACCAGCCCTCCACCTCTGCCCCGTGATCTGGGGATATTAAAACATGAGCAGCCAGGTGGTACCAGCTCCACTAATATTTCAGTTAAATAAGGGGGGAGAAGGCCTTTGACTCCGGCTTTCCACTGGAAGTGTACAGCTTCCTTCCCTCCAGGAGCATTACTGAAATGTTAGCCAAAGTATTCCATGCAGCTGATCCCGCAAGGTCATCACCGGAGAATTGTATGACCACTTTCAGCTGTTCACATGATAACAAGTGAGGAGAAAGATGGCAGCATGTGTTCAAATAGGTCTGTGGTTTTTTGCTGTTCTGTTTACCTTGGCTACAGAGGTTTTATAGATAATGATGTACTTTATTTACTAGTTAAGCCACTGGATATCAGCATGTGACTTTTATTTTGAAAGTTTCCAGATGTTTTACACTGATCTGGCAAAAACACCCTCAGCAGTCTCAGGTCTCTCAGTCTAAGATGAACAGGTTTATCTTTCATGTGCTAAAGCTGAACAATTTGCTCCTTTAATGCTTCTTGGTAGTTTTTATTTCAGTTTTATCTCATATTATGATCATTGTTTTCAGTTCCAGTGACCAGTGAAGAAACAAAATCAACATTTCTATCTTAAGTGAATAATAGGGTACTCTTAGTTTATGTCTTTTGTTTCTTTGGGGAAAATGTATTTTTGTCACAATGTGGTTGTAAATGCTGAAGGAAAAAGGTAACAATCTCTAGTATCCTTTACTGAAGCTGAATGTTGTGTGTTTGCTCCAAATGATGTTGAAAGAGTAAAATAACATGACTAAATCCAGTACAGACTGCATTTTGACAACTCTGGATTGTAAGAGAGTTTAATCAAACACACAAGGAAAGATGATGTCACTATTAAGATCAGTTACTAATAACAGGTTTGTGTCACGTGTCAATAAATTATATTTTCAGTTTGTGTTCTTGTTTATAACAAAAACAGTAAGATAGATAGAAAGAAAGCAAAAACTCACCTTTAACTGTTATTTGTAGAGGATCTGCACAAGCTGTACCTTTGCTAGATGAGCTGTCAATTCTGAAGAAGTATGCACCTGAATGACTCGTGTTTAGGTCAGAAAACACAGTGGTGCAGTCTCTCTGAGTCAGGTTTCCAGTGATTGTTACCGGAAATGATTTCACTGAATTACCGCTGTAGTAAATATAACTATCACCTTTAATCCAAAATCCAGAGCTTTGTTTGCTGATGACAAATGTAGTAGGTGTAATGCTACAAGGGATTAGCAAACATGATCCATTCAGAGCTTCCATCATATTTGGTGTAGTGATTTTGAATGCTGGTATAAGACCACCACAATAATCAGCAGCAGCCCAAACATCTGTAAAAGCAGAGAAATGAATGAGGAACAAAATCAGCTCTAAGAGAAAGTTCCTGACCAAAGTCCAGCTGAGCTGCAGCTTGTTACATGTGGAGCTTTAAACTAGAAACGATTCTGAAAACTAAAGATAATAAACAGCTCACCTGGAAGGAAGAAGACACTCAGTAACATGTGGACCATCACCATGGTTGCAGACATCAGGCTCTGATGGTCCTCCTTCATCTTTAATCTGGAAATGATAGTTTCCTTTTTTGTTTCATTATACCTTTCAAATTATTCATTTAGATTATTTTAAAACGACTTAAACCTAAAAGAAAACAACCAGACTGTTTTGTTAATTAGAAATAAGAATCTAATAATGACAATAATCTATTATCTAAATCTTCTAAAAGTACATTTGTGTAAATTTAAGCTTTTTATTTTATTTAATTTTTTGAGAGAGAGGAAACTATAGATTTAAATATCTATTTTATTCCTTACCAGATTAGCAGGGAAACAGAGTAGAAATGCTTTAAATCAGCTGAAATTCACCTGAACATCAGATCCACTCTGACTTAAGGTCAAAGTAAAGCAGATAATGAAAGGTGTGTTTATTCTTCCTTGTTCTGTAAAAGAGGATGTCAGCTACAGAGAACTTAATGTGGGTGTGTCTCAAACTAAAATATCAAATATGTTTTAATAACGTTTTACCATCAACTGCTGACAAACAAACTAGATAATTAGACATCTTAGACTTTAGCAACAAGATTGACTTTGAAATTTCTTCCACCCAGCAAACAAAAGTAGACCAACATAAAGTAAACCACAAAATGTTTTATGTTAAATGAGTACAAGACAATGAAAAAGTCGGTTTCACAGTTCTACAGCATGTGCTCCTTACATTTCCAGTTTGCATCAATGTGCAAAAAGAAAGAACAATGTGCTTGAAACAAACACAAGTCAGACCCTTTAGGTGAAACTGTGCATGACTGTAAACAATACTCTAGTAGAAGTTTGATCTGAGTTAACACAGAACTGGACCTCAGTGTTGCACATCCAGACATAGCTGCATGTCCATTAAACACTCATAAACAGCACCAGAGGAAATGTTGTCATTTGGGGGGCATTTAGAGAGTAAAAATATAAAGAAATGCTTTACATTTATAGATTTTGAAAACAAATTCAACACCTTTTATGTAAGGACTCAACAAATAAAATGAGGACCATTAGTTTAGTTGGGGCAGCAGTAGCTCAACAGGTTGAGCGTGTTGTCCAGTAATCGGAAGGTTGCAGGTTCGATCCTGGCTCCGTATAGAGAATTATGCTGTTGTGTCCTTGGGCAAGACACTTAGCCCACCTTGCCTGCTGGTGGTGGTCGGAGGGTCTGGTAGCGCCTGTGCTCGGCAGCCTCGCCTCTGTCAGTGCACCCCAGGGCAGCTGCGGCTATACTGTAGCTCATCACCATCAGTGTGTGAATGGATGAACGATACACTGTAGTGTAAAGCGCTTTGGAGTCCTTACTCTGAGAGGTGCTATACAAGTGCAGGTCATTTATCATTTACTGTTATAAAGAAATAAGCATTCATAAGGATAGCTCAGCAGTCTGCAGCATGCACATCCAAAAGAATTTTCTATTTGTCAGAAGGAACAGGAAACTGCATAAATGACTAAATGCGGTGGAGGATGAACTAAGTTGTAAGAATTTTTCTCTGTTGTGAGAAACCAGAGCAGTTGAGAAAAAGTGTAATTCAGCGGGAAGGCAACTCCCTTCCCCGAGGGCTGGTCCAGCATGTTTTAGTTGTTTTCCTGCTTCAACACTCACTATTTCATCAGCAGGTGATTATCAGGCTTCTGCAGAGCTTACTAATGAGCTGCTGAACAGGTGAATCTACTGTGTTAGAGCAGGGAAACAACTAAAACATGTTGAATTCTGGCCCTTGGGAGTTGTCCACCCTAGCTGTAAAGTCTACTCTCCCTGAACACATAGCAGGACTCTGTTGTAACAGAACGTAAAACAAAAGGTCCCTCTAAGCTGCAGTTTTAGCTTGTTCTGACAAAACAAGAGCAGAACAACCAATGTTTAGAAAGAATAATCACTGAAACATGATTGTCCTGGTTTAACTGGTTTAAGCTGTAAGAACAACAGGAAGCTAGACTTCTGAGCTCATTTGAATTAACTTCTGTATTTTCCTACTGAAGCACCAGCTTTTTAAAATACCGGCCATCAGTTTTTCTCATGCAAACCCTGTGTGGTTGTTCTGTGTGTGTGTGTGTGTGTGTGTGTGTGTGTGTGTGTGTGTGTGTGTGTGTGTGTGTGTGTGTGTGTGTGTGTGTGTGTGTGTGTGTGTGTGTGTGTGTGTGTGTGTGTGTGTGTGTGTGTGTGTGTGTGTGTGTGTGTGTGTCAGTCTGGTACCAGAGAAGGCCATCATGATCAACCATCTCCTTTGGTGATGGTTAGGGTTAAGGTTAGGATGGAACGATGGAAGACCAGTAAACAGCTGTTTGTAAACCTGCCAACTTGATGGATAGAATACATATGATGTCATCAAAAAGCACCAAATAATCAACAATTTGCCATTTTGGCTGTGTCTCAATTCAGGGTCTGCATCCTTTGTCGGCCGGATTCGTCGGCCGGTTACGTCACAGCGCCGCGACTAGGCCTGTCCCAATTCGAAGACTCCTTCAAATGCGGTCGACGAATCCGGCCTTCTTTTCGCCTGAATGAAGGATGGGTCCTGTGTTTCCTTCAATGGTTCACATTTTCCAAGATGCCTTGCGGGCCGGATGGCAAAACTTTTAAAAACAGTGGCGGACAGTGAAGCGGGAGCTGTCGGAGAGGATTGCGCATATAAATGTCAGTATAAACTTGAAAACTGTTAGGTTAAGGGCCTTTTGTGATACATGAATGTTATTTTAGTTTGAAATGTTACGGTAAAAGTGCTTGTATTGCGGTCTCGGCTCGTATGTTCGGCCGCACTCGGTGTCGTACTTCTCCCGCTATGTTTTCCACGATTTTAATAGGAGTTTGTATTTTAGGGACAAAAGAGAAAACCAGTGAATTTATTAAGCTTCTGGCAAAGATGGACCACATGATCACTGGAGCAAAGTATTCGGCGGCTGTGGCATGGAGGTACAATAACATCTCATATTTTAAAAACTGTCGTTTGAGTTTAGTTTTTTCTGCGAAAACATGAAAGGAATAACCCGTTGTCCTCTTTTCTCAACCTTTCCTCTTCCTGTTCTTTTTCTTACATGTTTGTTTCTGGAGAAAATGGGCATCCGGGGAAGGTGACAGCGATGACCAGCTTCTGGAGCTGCTCTGGGAGGACATGAGGCTGCAGAGGGCACAGGAAAGAAGGGAGATTTTTGACAGGCTTTTTACTTTGCTAGAAAAACTGGTTAAGAAAGATTAAACATGTACATATAAAAGAAATATCTAAATAAAATCAGTTCTGTATTAAACACTTGAATTTTATTTTTGTTTAAAATGTGAATTGTTTAATGTTACAGGGTATGCGCTGGGTCTTGAAAAGTCTTAAAAGATGATAAATCGGTTTTGGTCAAATTAAGACCCTTAGAAAGTATTAAAAACTATTATCACATCTTTGCTCAGGCTCAGCTTGTCGAAAGAATTTTCTCTGAATTAGCTCTCCAACAGTCAAGAAAATGATTAAAAAGCTGAATAAAACTTCGAGCTCCATCGTTTCAAGTTCCTTGTCCCTTCTGCTCAGCGGTTCCGCAGTTGCTAGGCGACGGAACGTTTGCCGAGGGAGTGGCGGGAATTCATGAAGGCTAGGCCTGTCCAAATGCACAGCCGTTAACATCCGGTCTACTCGGCCGACGGAGGTGGTCCCAGCCCACGTCGGTCGAGTAGGCTGGGTCCTTCGAAGGATGCAGACCCTGAATTGAGACACAGCCTTTGGTACAACATGCAGCGATATATTTAGAGGAAGTTCTTTAAACTAAGGTAGATATGTGATAACAAAAACTGGTTTGGTGAAATCTGATGTAAGAATGAAGTGTGAGATTATAAAACACAGGTCTTGCATACTTTATATTTTCTAAATGTCAAAAATCAAACCGTATTAGAAATGTGTAATAAACCTTTGCATCTGAATTCAACAAAGAAACTTTTAGTTTAATGTTGTTGTAATTTGTGTCTAAAAAACCCAAATGAGATCTCATTTGGTTTTCAAATGACTGGCTTCTGGTTATAACGAATATGTGACTAAAATCAGATATAAATGGATTATATTGAACACATTTTGTTATTTTGAATTAATCATGTTCGATCAGAAACCAATGTCTAACTATCTGAAAATGTGTCCTTAATAAGGTTGTTTAAATATCTTAAAATGACCACAAGGGGGCAACAAAATTCCATAAAAAGCAGAAGCCAAACATCAAAAAGAACCACTGTTTAAAGTTTATGGTGATGAGTCATCTCTGCTTATTTAAACATTAACAAACTTACCAGATCAGAATATGTGCAATTCTAGTGGTGTTTTGGTGTGAATATATAAGATCTCTTCATAATTTTCTGTTGTTTCATAGTAGAACATTTTATGAATTTTTACGAGTTTTTTTTTCCAATGTGATCAACTGTCCACAAGAGGGGGATAGCTGCTTGACTTGGGGCACAGTGACAGGAGGGAGGGTGCCTCTGACCACCAGCAGCAGGCTCAGTGGGTTAAACGTCTTGTCAAAGGACACAACAACTGCAACCTGTTACAAGGCTGGTGCTTAACTCTTCTGCCACCATCATTCCTACAATAAAATAAAGAAAGCCCTACGATGGACAAGCTTGTCCAGGACATGGATATTAAATTATCTGCATGCTGATTGGCCGGTTTACCCCAATGGCTCTATGGCACTGCCTGAAGCTAGAAAAATTCAGGAACAGTATCTGGATAAGTCATTAGGAAATCGATGGATTTGGCACCCCGTCAAAGTCTGGATATTCCGGCCCCGTGTGGGGATCTGGGCGGGGCCTTGGGGGTCGGGTCCTGACATGTATGCTGCCGGGAAGAAGGCAGGAATATGCAGCAGTGCCTGGTCCGGGTTCAGGGGCCTCGGGTAGTTCTTGGCTCCTCTGCTGTCCCATCACAGGGGAGGGGGAGGTCCAGGAGGGGGAGGACCCAACTTTACCTGGATGTCCTATGTCTTATATATTCTGGAAGGTGTGCAAATGCAGGGATGGGCATAGATATTCTGCTGGGGTGGGGCTGGGTTGGTGCCCTTGGACTCCGTGAGGCTCTGCAATGCTGCTGCTTTGGGCCCTGGCAGGATGGGCTGGGGTCTCCATGCCCTGGGTGGCATTTTGACAACAGAGGTGCCTATTGGGGCCAGTGAGGGAGCTGGCTCCCTGGAAGGCTAAGCCCAACCAGCCATTCCTCCCCATCCCTGCAATTTTTCTCCTCTTGCTCCCTCACATCATCACACAAACATGCACATAGGACCTTGGGGGGTGGACAAGTCAGTGAGTGTGGGTATGGACCCCATTTCCACATTCCTGTGGCAACCTGCCCCCCAATTTTATTTGCACCTTAAACACTTCCACCAACAACATTCCACGCAAACACACACTTAGGGCCTTGGGAGTGAGCACATTCAACGGCAGTTGGCAGGGTTTTTTTCCCAGCCTCATCCTGAGTGCCGGTGCCCACTTCCAATTTTAAACTGCACTTAGACACCGAGGGCTGTGGGTCCAAGTGGTGTGGTGCGGTGGCATCAGCTGGCATAGGCCAGACAATGCCTGCACTGTCCGCTCACCACAGCCATGGAATACACCTCATCAACACACAACAACACTATATTGGAGCAGGCGGAGGGAGACTAGGGGTCTTAGCACACCTCGGGGTCTTAGCACACCTCTGTTGTTGCTTGTCTTCCTGGGACTGGAGGCTAGGAGGGAGATCTGGCCGTCTGGTTGGGGTCTGGGGTGGTGGGTTGCTGTGCACAGCGTTGGGCGGGGGATCCTGCTCATCAGCACCCCAGCAGAAAGGGTCAAACTCTGGCAACCGGTAATGGTTGTGTACCCCATGTGCAGCACTACCGGGACCAGAGTGAATAGGGTGTGTATGGGGAGCATGAGTGGGTGTCCGGCGTGCATTTTTGTAAGTCTCTGGTTGTATGTGTATGTGTGAGCATGAGGGAGGGAGTGTGTGACTGTGTTTGTGTATGACTGTATATGTCAGGTGGGGCCTTTGACT